TTCAACTTTCTAGCAATATTACTTTTGGAATTAAGACTAAATAACTAAAATTTTAAATGTGAAAGTCTTATTTACAGCGTATTTTTACCATTTCCCTGTCCATTTCAGGACAGTTTTTTCCTCACGTCTAGAAAAACTATTATAATTTAAAAAAATGACGTATCTAAAGTACCACTGCATGCCAATTTAAAATTTAAAAAAGTCCTAGAAAAAACTTTTGGACCAGTATTTCTATCCGAAAAAGTGTTAAACAAATAAAATACAAACATCATTATAAAACCATAATATCCTCCGCTACAGTCAAAATCTAAAAGTGATCATGTGATAAAACACTTGTGTTTACAGCAGGTAATTCGTTGTATGCGCAATAAAAATATAAAATTAAAGTGAACAATTTAAATTTAGAAATATTCATATATTTACCAAATATTTTAGTAACTGTTGAATTGTACGGTTTGCAGGTGTATATAACCATTAAGAATCATGAAAAAGATAGAAGGACTTCAGTATCCCCAGTTTTTACATTGAAATTGCGCCCCTGGGAATTACATACATTATTAGATAGTATGAGTGATACTGTAGTAACGAACCATAATGAAAACTTTTTGTTGGTAAATGATAAGGATTCAAATATTTTATTATTTTCGACTAAAACTAATTTAATGTCTTTAAGTAATGTTGAAACAATTTTTGTTAATGGTACTTTTAAAAGTTGCCCAAGCCTTTTTACTCAAATATTCACAGTTTATAGCTTACAAAATTATAAATAGGTACCTATATACAATTATTATTTTTTCTAAATCTTGTTAAGAAATCAAAATCTTATGAAAAGGCGTTTTTGCATATTTTGTCTGAATGTAGTAAAATTAATATTATATTTTCACCAAAAAAAGTGTTTGTAGATTTCGAAAAGGCAATACATTTAGCTATTTTATCAGTTTGGACCTCAATAATTTTAAAAGGATGTCGTTTTCATTTGGGGCAAAGCTGATACAGAAAAATACAATCGATTGGCCTAAGTTCTGAATATAAAATTGACCGTGATATAAGTAAATACTTAAAATATTTTTTTGGACTACCGTTTCTGCATCCTGACGAAGTGATCGACTGTTTCACAGACGATTTACTATCTATTAAACCGTTAGATGAAAAGATAGATGTATTCACTGATTATATATTAGATACATATATACTACCAGAATCTAGTTTTTCGCCTTCATTGTGCGTATAATACTCGGCTACAACTATACGAACTACTAATAGTTGTGAAGCTTTTCATTCGAAGCTCAACGCGATGTTTTATAACTCCCATCCAAACATTTTTCAATTTATAAATGCTCTAAAGAGAATACAAACTGATATTTATATAAAACAACGTAGCACTCATTTAAAAAAACCGTACAACCTCGATAATTAATAAAGCACGATTTTTAAAACAAGCAATGACAGATTTTCAATCAAAAACAATTAGTAGATTCGAATTTATAAAAATGTAATTTTCAAAATTTTTTTCAATACCATAATATTTTTTACTACAATTTATATTTTTTAATATTTTTATACAGTTACAATTATACAGTTGTTTTGATAGAATTTATATTTCTATATTTTTTAATATTTTTATACATGCACAATTATAAATACAATAATTAATATAAAAGCAAAAAAAATAATTTTAACCTACCTGTAGTAGTAATTATGTAATCATTATTATAGACAGTCCTAAGTTTGTATTAAAAAGGAAGGGAAATATTATTTAGTTTTTAAAATACACGAGACGCATTTGGTATGCACAAAAAAAAAAATCGGGACAACTAATATGACCCCAAAAAATAACTGGGACGTAATTAGTATGATCCCAAAAAAACTTTAGACGCAATTTGGAAGGAATTATTGCTGCGGAATTTAATTCATATGCAGCCCAAGTTTTTGAAAATCGTATAAAGATAAGATCTATTTATTATTTAATAAAAAATATATGAAAAAAAAAATAATAATAATAATCCAACAATATTGTAATAATTGCACTCATGTCATGTATTGACGTATTTTGTGTCAAGGCTGCCACGGACCCCTGAGGGCCGCAGACCACAGGTTAAGAACCACTTCACTACACAGTTTATACCACTGCGTATATAGTACATACCGGTACGTGACAAACTGAACACACGGGGAAAGGTTGTCAAGAAATGATTGAACAAGATTTGTGGAAGACATTATATTATATAAAAATAAATATTAACATTTCAAATACGTTTATTTAGAACACATTTTGAAAAAATATAACTTAAAAGCAAAATAAAATGTCGTGCATTTTGTACTAAATAGTATTAATTGAATTATTTAATAATTGTATTACTTACATATGGTGTGCAATCTAAAATTATTTAATATTATTCCACAATAAACTCAAAATAGTGAATGAATGTATTTAATATGTTTGTACTGTGTAACATGTTAATATGTTTAATATGTTTGCAGTTAGTGACGGTATACATATATATATATATATATATAAATCTGTCATAAGACAGGTATTTCTACAACATTCTCCGCTTTTCACAATCCTGGCCTATAGCAATAGATGCAGTCATATATTTATCTCCACTTACATCTTTTGTTGTTTATTCGAAAGGACGTAATACTAGGCAAAGTTCTTTTGTTATTTTCCACTCATCTACTGTTAGTTCTTTATGAGAATTATATATAAGTCCAAGAGTGCCACGAATAAAACTTTTACATTTAATAAAACGTTCAATCAAATTGAATTCCACCGATTACTAACATCCTGAAATACTTTCTTTGGTTCTTTTGCCCAATTATTATTTTGGTAATTATTCAATGTATTATTTGCTAATGTACTTCTACGGAAAAACGATTGTTTAAATTTTTTCATGAAGGAAAAATGTCAATGTTAAAGCACTTTGAACAATCAAATTTAAAGTGAAAGAAAAACATCCTAAATGTTGCAACTGAAGTATGGATAAAGCTATTTTTATATTGTTAGCATTGTCTGATACTGCTATAATAATTTTGGTTTCTATGTTCCATTCTTTTAATGTCAAATATATTTTATTACTTAAATTTAAACTTGTATGGTTTTTAGATAATTCTTGAGAGCGTAATAAAACAGATTGTAAAGTAAAACCGTCGTTGAAACGTAGTTTCAATATAAATAGTATTTTTTCTGAATGTCCAACAGTCTATAGTAATGCAACCATTAATAGTTTCAAACTTAACCTAATCCATAGTTTCATTTAAACATTTTTGATACACAGCTGATATATGAACTTTAGATAATGTATGATAATTTGGAATTTTAACTATTTGACACTTCATGCAAATTGTCTGTAATGAACTCCGATTTATTATAATTTAAATTATTAATTGTACATGATGAAAATATTATATTTTAATTCTTTTTTGTTTTGTTGAAATTGGTAATATTAGTTTTGTATAATTTTGTTTTTGAAAGTAGCCAGTAAATGTATAAACCCTTCCCATCAATATTTGTTGACAGCGGCTCTGACAATTACGTGTTAAAATAAATTATCTGAAGATAAAATATAAGCATTTAATACTAGTATGAGCCTGCTAATTAATACTATTAAATACCTAGTTAAGATCCTGTTACAATTATTTACCCAAATTGAATAAATTAGATGTGGTTCTCCAATCAATTCAGTACTGGTTGATGAAACCGAAAAAAATTGGATTATTTTTAATACATCTGATGTATAGCCTTCTCTTTAGTTCTAACTAGGTAACCTACTCCATAATATAATTAAAGTTTAATTATATTTAATAAGTTAACGCTTTTATTAGTATGTTGTACATACGAAAGACGTTGACAGTGTTCTGTTTTTGTTATTTTTAATATAACATGCCTATGCGATCGTATGTCTAATTTAGGCATGGATTCAAGGGAGAAAGACTAAGGAACTTTAGTTTCCTTTTGAATGTATTATATATTTTGTAACTATAAAATTAATATTTAGTTGGTATATCTTTAATTGAAGATTAGTCAAAATACTGTTGAACTTATTAACTTTTCATAATTTAAAAATATATTATAACTGTGTATTGCTTAACATATGTATTTACTATAATTATATATATTTTGTCTTTATGTTAATACAAATTATCCCCTGCCACCCATTTCATATTTCTAGATCCATCCCTGGTCTAATGTGTAACGCGCATCGTATATATTCTTCAAAAGCAAATATATTCAAATATATTTATAGATTTTCTATAACTCATAATGAAATTCAAAAAATAATTTATCCATTTTTTATATTCCAGTTATATTTATAAATTAGTACACCAATTAATAAATAAATAAATTATTGTATTAGTGATTTCAGTTAGGAAGACTTATGAGTCCTCCTGAATATCTTGTGTTATTAACGACGACGATAAAATGTGCATGATTTATCGCGACAAGAAATAACCATTTGTACTTGGAGCAATTATTTTCCAACCATTTAAATTAATTTTTTAAAACTCAAATAAATCAACGACATAAGCATAATATTTTCAAAGATGATTATTAAATATACTTTCTTTCCAATAACCATTACTTTATTGCAAGCCTGGGCAAGTTAATGATAATTTTTAACTGAGTTAAGTTAAGTTAATAGAAAATATTTTAAAAAGTTTAAAGTTAACAGTTGACCTGTTTTTTAACTCAGTTAAGTTAAAAGTTATCACACTTATAAACAGTTATAGACATTTTTAACTAACCTATTAACTAATTAATATTATGATTATTACTTATTAAGTTATTTATTTATTTTTTAATATCTATATAAATACCCTGTAATATGGTTGAAAATAATAAAAGTCATAAATATTATTGAATACAGTAAATAGCCAATGGCTTTTCTATAAATTAAATTAAACTATTAGGTATTGATGAATAGAATTATGTAGTGTATGTACCAAAAGTATATTTCTTACTGTCGGGACATGTAAAACTTTAACGCTGGTGGAGTTTTTCATTCAGATATATAGATTTTTTTTTCTTCAACGTACGTACGTTTGTCAAAATTAATATGTATGATACTATACGTATGTTGTTTGTATCCAAAAAATTCTCTTTTTTGTTGATATTTCTTATAGTCATTGCGGTCTATCTCACCAATATTATTCATTTTCTCGAATGCTTTATAAATCTAAAATTATGAATATCTCAAATTAGCCTATGTTAAAAGTACACGTAATTAACAATTGACATACGTATTCTTTAATGCCGAGTTTAAAAACATTTTCCGCTCGCTGAAAATTGTTGTCGAGCCTAAGATTTTCTTCTATCTGGTCGATATCCTCGCTTTGCCAGCCACTTTTGAAGCATTTCTTCTTTATAGACTTAAAAATTTGATCCGATTATTTTATTTTAAAACTGTTGTGGGATTGTTCATTTTTACTCACGTATTTATTGTACAGACAGGACTCAACATTGGGAAACTTTTTCTTGTTCTTCTTTTTCATAATTTCGATCATTTCACGAGAATTTGAACCTTCGACAGTTCTAACAATCTAGTTATTCGGTAAAACACAAGTCAATTCCTAAATATTTTAGATTCATAGTACTTGTAGATTCAGTAGAGAATTGATTATCTACCATGTTTTAATTATCCAACCCGATTATACAAGTACAATATACGTTCGTTAAAAAAAAAATATATCGGTTACATCTACACGTGTTTTTATTATACACGTAAATTCCAGTTCACTGTTTTTATACATTACATCGTTTTTATATAAATTCATAAGTTTTGATGTTATAATATTATGATACATATTAGTTGTTTATATTATATGTGTTTTCAAATAATTGTTTATTTGCACTTATTGTTTCATATACGTTATACGCCCTAGGACCTTGATTAAAGCGTATAATCAACACTCTACTGCATTATATAAAATTATGGATTATATAATCTTTACGCTAAATATCTAACCTGACACAATGATTTTTTAGATGATTTGATTTGTAGTTGATTCAATTTTTTATTTGTTATTATTTTATGTTTTATAGGTTTAATAATCGAAGTCTTAACACTTATGCGGCTCTTTAATAAATTATTGATTTTGAAACGTGGTATCATTGGTATTAACGATTCTTTTTTCTTATTTATAATGAAATTAGTTTTATTTGCAGTAATGAGAGGAAAAATGTTTTTTTTTATACAAACCTAAAAAAAAATTGTAGTTATCTAAGTATATAATTTGCTTATATTTTAATTTTAAATATTTATCCAGTATGTCTCGAGTGATTTAATGAAACTCTCGTCGAATTTATATTTATAATATTTCTACTGAATAGATAAGTATAGTATTTTCCTTATTATTTCTAAATTTTAACATTCATCATGATTAAACTTACTCGACTTTTGATGCTGTTTGTACGGTCAATAACTTGTTTTGTTTGTTCATTACCTAAAGATGTGTACTTGATAATTTCACTTTTTTTCTTGATTGGTTCTTTTTCAAGCTAAAATATTAATTAGTTAGAATAAATGGATCTATTTATATATTAAGTAATTAATGAACTTGTTTTTGAATTGGTATCACAGGCACTAGGGATAATGACTGACGATAATTTGTTTGATAAAGTTTATTTTCATTTTGATAAAAAAAATGTTCATATAAACTCCTATTTTTTTCTGAGAATACCAATCTATAATTTCCCATATTTTGGATTTCCCATTCGTTAGATTGTTGTTCATATTTTAATTTACAATCAATTTTTCTTTGTTTGCTAAAAATCGAATAATTTCAATCAACCCAAACGTAAGACAATATTTCTTCACACAGAATTCATAAATAGAAATATTATATTAATTAAAATATAACTATTAATTTATTGATAAACGTTGTATTTGTATTTTTATAGTAATAATTAATTTATACAATGCATTTTAATTTTTTTGAAATATTTTATTCATTCAAACTATTGTTGTTAATATTTTATAGAAATAGACATCACATCTTTTACGTTGTTTTATTTTTTATTGTTTTTAATTTTAATTTTGTTATGAATTATTTAACCATTTGACAGAAAAAAATAAAATAGAAAATTACATATTAATCTATTTATCATTATGTATTTCACTTGGCTTGAAGGAGATTCAAAATACATGATGAAAATATTGCTAAAAGAATATAATATTTACTTTCTACTCGCTATTTGATTACAATAACGTTTCACTTAATTAATGTTAATTTTATCTATCAGGCTTTTTTAATCTTATTTTCATATTTTAGTTTATTTTCATTATTATAGTAATCATGCAAAAACTTGAACTTACAAAACATCTTTTTCAGCTTTAAGAGCACGCTGCCTAGTTATCCATTTCTGTTCCGTAAAAGCAGCGTTTTTATAGCTTTTATCTAACTGTAATAATTTAAATGTATCCGTTAATAACTGTCGCTTCACTATTTTATCAATTGCAGTGCTTGTATGCAAATCCGGTGAACGATTTACCTGTCATAACATAAAACTGTATTTCTTATTTTTAAATAATGTATAATCTGTTAAATGTAATGTAGTATTCGTAATATTTGTACAGTATGCAAATCAGCCGACGTTTTTTTTTTTTAAAAATAATTATAAATCAAACACCAAAAGATATCAAATAGTAATATTTATGATCAACTGACTTCCAAGAGATACGGTTTACAGTTTTCGTCCAAAATGATGTCAAACCCGAGTATCTCGAAACATGCATGCCTGTGAAAATGCCCGCTGAAACAAGTCTTATAGTTGTGGCTAACACACGGATAAGCCAAGATGATTGTTTTAATGATGGCATCGTCGATTTTTTTCCACATTTCCTTCACGTCGTGGCCATTTTTGCTGAGCCAACTGTTAAGTGTCGTTATTCGCCTAACTCCGTGCAAAAATATTCGTAGAAAAAAAGGAAAAAACTACTACCAACAACACGTTTCAAACTCATTGTCCATTTCTCACCGTTTGCTTCCGACGATTTCGTTGTCTACATACAAATCACTGTATTTGTTCACCGAGTAATTGGTTAAATGCATAAAGGCATTGTTCATATTTTTGTCGGTAGGCTTTTTGTACGGTACCGTGGCCAACCTGTATGAAATCGATACACCAATAATTAGTAGTATTAGCATTGGAATATTAGATTCTAATTAAATTTAGTACCTATGCTATTTAATTTCTAAAGATTAATGGTTCGTGGCAATAAAACATGCCATGTTATTTTGAATACTCGCAGCATGAAAAATCATTGGTCACAAACAATAATTTTTATGTGTAATTTGATTGTCGAATAAAAAAGTTAATTTATAGACAGTACGGAGAACCCCTTAGGAAGAATAATCAGTATTGTCGAACGGTCAGTGTTGAATGTCAGTCAATGTGATTGACATTCGTAACTGACTGTGTATTTTTATAACTGTTGATGACCGACGATCATAATGTATGACTGATGAAAATCAAACGTTTGAATTTTTATCATCGGTCAAGATGGTTGGCATTCATGATTGCTCGTATATGTACTTGAATGTCGGTCAAATGAGCTGAAAAGTGCAGTTCACAGTGACTTCTTTCTTGTTTACCAAAGTCAAAGAATCGCTGTTATACATTACACTATAGTTTATACACTTTCCTCCCAGGGTTTCTTTGCATCATCACATTCATGTAATCATTTATTTTAAATTGACGATCTCAAAGATAAATATTTGTAATATACATAAACTGTTAATTAAATTTACACAAAACACAACAATACGAAACAGCTCGAACAGTAATTTTTTTCCCTGATAAAATAAATTAATGGCGATTGACATTTTTGATTTAATGAATATGGATATTGATGTTGATCCCTCGTCATTCATAAATATCAATCACGTTGATTTTTATTTAGTATTTACTTAAATATTTATTATAATATAAATGTTGTTTTTTAAACGACTCTTGTATAGTTATAATATAGCGATCAGGACCGGTATAAGGCTAAATGACGCCGCAGGCCAAAATGCCAACTGACCTTTTTTCATACAACAACTTGTAATATCATATAACTAGAGCTAGGGACTTCATGCCCTTAAAAACCTTAAAATATGTATGCATTTATGCCCTAAAGAATCAATAAATATGCTATTAAAATATTTATTTAAAAAAATTATATATGTAATAATTAATTAAATAAAAAAATTAAACTAGTAATAAATTATAATAATATTTTTATATATGATAGATATGATGATCTGAGATAATTTTTTTCTTTTTTTCAAATTTTTTTTCATTTTATATTGAATTTTTATCTAAAACAACATACTTAAAATGGTTTTAAAAATAAATTAAATTGAAAACATTTTTTTATTTTTAATATAGTTATAATTCTTCTAACCTTGAGCATTACATTGGACTATAAGATATTTTCTTAAGATGGGAAATTTAAATGACTGCCTGTTATAAGCCAAAATAATTTTATATTTAGAAAAGGAACGTTACACATCTACGGAACTTATTGGTGCAAACTTAAAAAATCGTAGGTCACTACTACTAATATCTGCAGACAATCTATTCATAGATTCATTTTTCCATTTAAAATGTTCGATATTTTTTGTAGTTAGCCTTAGCTTGTGCAAATTCTTCAATTTTTGCAGAATGTATACGTTTTTGTATTTTTAATTATTTTAATGCATTCAATTAGTGCACCAATAAGACACCTTGAGTTCCAAGTCACGTGATATATGAAGAAATAAATCATAATTTTTTTTTATAAAATTTAAAAACTTACTCCTTCATATGAATAATTATCAAATATGCATTTATAAAATGAAAAATGGTCAAATATGCAAAATATGCAACTATAAATTTTAAATATAAACTTGTATTGCTATGAAACAAATTTATATATTACTTAGCTATTTTTTTGATAATTATTTAAAAAACATGCAAATTTCTAGAAGTCCCGAGCCATACATATAACTTAGAAAAAAATGTTGTTCGTGGACAGAAAAATTATATAATATGCTCAACTTGTACATATTTTGTTATCGTCTAATTTTTTAATCACGAGTCATAATGGCTTGACGCGATCCCGATTAAACGATAATAAATATTAACGAAACGACCATTATAATTATCAATATTTCAATACAAAGTTATAGATATTTTATATTAAAACAAAAAAATAATATTACTGATACATGTGCAAAATTGTAAAAATCAATTTCGGTGCCCCTCTAAAAATGGCGCCATAGGCGACCATCTGAGTCGCCTTACCCTCACGCCGGCTCTGATAGCGATGCCTGGTGCTAAGAAATGTGTGTAAATACACATAATAAAATCTGTCCAAGAAATTCAACAAGTTTTTTTGTACCCAGAACTATCTGCTTTAATGAATATTTTTTTTAATATAAAAGTGAATCAAGGAATAATGTTTTAGTGGATTATTGAATAATTTACTTCTGCAAACATTTATTTTGAATCAAAATCATTAACATTTTACCTCACAAGACCGTCGTTGTATATGTATATTTTTAGTGGATCACATGATGCAATTAATGTGTACACGCGTATATCAAATTTAAAGCCATCTATCAGCATTAACTATAATATTGGAACAAATAATTACATTTTTATTAAAATTAATATTTGGTAATTATTGATTCATACGATGTTCTATTATTTACATTGGAAATATATAGTTGACAAATCATTTGTTCGAACTGAAGAATATTTTTCAAGTATTTCGTCAGATATATCCCAGTTCCTCGGCTACCTGCAGTTGGTTTTATGATGTATGTTTGATTTGTTTTGTGTTTATTCATATAATTTTGTAGTTTTGCATAGCTGGAAAGAAAAAAAAATGTAAAATGTTTTTCATTATGAATTCAGATTTAAACGTCATATAAAATCATCATACTCTGATGGTAAATGCCAAGTCTGAGGAAAAAAGTTATAATCATCCTTAAAATATTTCATCATCGTATTTAAGTTTCGGGCTAATAAATCTTTTCGACAAATTTCTGACATTCCCGGAAAATGATTTATTTTCTGAAATCATATTATCTATTTATCTGACCAGTTTAATATGTTGCGTACTTGATTGCAAATTATAAACTGATATAAATATATATAAATACTAATCGTAGTTAGTTGATCATAATAAAATTAAACGTAATTTTTTAAAAAAAAAAGTATCCACAGTGTATTTTACTCATTTGTGCCTTTTACTTGATGAAAGTGACATTTGACGTAACGTTTTAGGTCTGGTGTGTATATTTCTGGCAACAGATACAGATTCAGAAATTCCCTATGAGGGGTAAAAGGGAAGATTGCATACTTAGTTTCTTATATATAAGTGACAAAATAGTTTATAAGAAGTAAATAAATGCAGAACACTAACATGTTACAAAGTATTACGACCGGCCCCTTACGTTTACGGGTATGAATATCATTAAATTGACAAATATGCATAGCTTACTTGGTAATTTTTTAAATTTTTAAATTTTTTAGTATCCATGGGTGTGTCAGACCACAACAAATCCCACGTAGAGTTAACATTTTTAACCTTCTCTAATCCTATTGATAATGCGACTTCGTGCACGATTGGAAAATTGCAGTTTTGCAGACAAATTGTTGCCCTGAACAGAATGGGTTTTGGTTTTCACAATTTGTTTATAAATAATATATTAATACTAGTATATGAGCACGGATAATTGAAGAAATCAATAATTTAAGAATAATATTGCACAACCATTGAAGATGCATAAAAGTACCGATGCTTTCAGTATACTTGACTATACTCCTATACTTCAGCAACATGTGGCTGAAAGCCATAGCTGGAATTGTAATGCAAGTACACTAGTTCCAAATATGTATTGAGCTCGTTTTTTTCCGACCTAACTGCTAAAATATAATATAATAATATATTTAATTATTTTACCGTTTTTTATCATTAATTTTCTTCTTAGTTAACATTTGTACATTGTCGGTTTATTTCGTTGTTTATAAAAAATTAAGTATTATAAAATATATATTATTTTTTATGATTAAAATCAATTTATATTCGGTTGCATGGACAAGTCACTGTTTATTCGATTTAGTTACAGTGGTATTTTGTCAATCGAGCCAAACATTAACATTATTTTATGAATTATTGAAATTAGTAAATAGGTTTTTGGGCACGAAATAAACACGTTTTTTCATGTATACATAAAAATTTAAATTTCTCATTTTAATTAAACTCAATAATACTACAAGTATAAATAAAAGACTACATTAAGTTAAAATATCATTTTATATTTTTAAACTATTCGATTGTCTTGACTTAAAAAAATAAATTAAAACTGTGTTGAAACCTTTTTAACTGTATTCATAAACTTTGTTTATGTGTAAACCGTTTAGATTTTTATTTATTTAAACACATTAAATATTATATTATTCAGACAATTACGATACGATATAATGTAGACTAGGGTAACCATATTAAGAAAATAAAAAAAACGGAACAGTTGTTACTTCTCCCCAAATAAAATACCTCATCTATATACATTCACGCATATGCACACAAATCTCGAGAGATAAAGTCCAAATCTCTGTCATATCATAAACAATTATTTTCTTTTTACTTTACCCTTTTTTAGTAAAATAACCTAAATAATAAAATATTTTCTTTCAATTATTATTAAATTATTAAATCGGTAATTTCATAGTTTGTCGGCATCGGGACTTGACGCTCGTTCCACGATAACTTTTATCTGTTATTTCTGACTTTGATTTTACGTTTAAAATATACGAGTAAAACCGTTTTACATTTTTTTATATATAGATATTTTATTCATAAGCATTAATAATCTATATAATAAATAATATGGCAATAACGGGATTGAAACGAGACAATTTTCTAAAAACGGGATAATAAACATCCCATTCGAGGTTTATCGGGACAACGGGACGTGATGATCAAAAAAGGGACGATCCCGTTTTAAACGGGACGTCCGGTCACCCTAATGTAGACTGGTGCTTCAATAAAATAATGTATTATTATTATTGATATTATACTCAGCTCACAATGTAATATTAAATCAACATTTTTGTTTTAAAACTCAGTGAATGATTATTTTATTTTGTCATATATTAATCATATTCGAGTAAACAAGGTATTTTCAACGACTAGTTGATTTCAACATATAACAAAGTTCTATAATACAGAAGTATATGCGTTTTACGTAAAACAATTAATTCTATATATTAATTTATATCTGTTTAACTTTGTTTTATAAACTATACTGATATACTAGGTCGGATTCAGCACTTATTGGGCCCGGGGGTTGAAATTTTATATGGGCCCTTTTGACAAAACATGCTTTACAAAGCTGCTCGCTACGCTCGCAAAACGATACATTTTTTTTAACCATTTCACAAATTGTCAATTGCATTATAAAATTAATAGGTATATACAATTTATGTCTATAACACTACTAATTTTAGTATGATAAAAAATGTGTATCGGCTTAAAATTGTTTGGGCCCCTTTCACTTGGGTACTCAAGAAGGCCCTATAATATATATTAATACTGATACAGTGATTCATCTACTTTATATTAATATAATAATATTCACCATTACCTGTATACTGCAAGTAAGTTGTTCGTTAGGTTTGAAAATCCACACAGCGAATAGACACATGCTGATTCTTTTTGTTGTAAAATTAGTATATTTAATACGGTTTATAAGAATTTCTTTTCTAATGTCTATATGATCGCAGTTTGACTATGTTTTAGATTTTAAAATGTATACCTGTGCAATTTGAATTATAAAGGTGTTAAGAATTATAGAGGTGTCCAATGACTCCGTGAGAATCGAGAGATTCACGTTATGGATGTACACTATTATTGATTTATTGTATTGTTTATGTTGTCTTTATTTTTCTGGAATATAGTAATTAAATTAAAGTTATAACATTTTTCTACAACAACAAGATCCTCTCCATCTAGTCCCGAGGTTCTCATTCAGGATCCCGCGAATTTAGGTATATGAAATACCTGTTATATATTTCTTAAACGACTTCATGAAAAATATAGTACTGTGATTAATGTATAATTATGTATACATTAATTATATACATGTATGTATAGTGATGTATATATAGTGTATATAAGAGTATAATTAATTATATACAATATAATTTAATGTATTAATTATATAATACACATAATTTTTACATATTAATACTGTGACGTTCAATCTATTTTAATTTCCATACTGGTGCGATTGCTATTGCTTCGATGTGAACTGTTTTAAAGTTATAACTTATATACGGTGAAATACTTGTGATTTTATCTTATCTTTATTTTTTATTATTAACATGTACCGGCAAAATAGTGATTAGTCGTATAATAACATTCTAACAATTTCAGTAAGTACAGTTTCTCTGGTCTGTACTACGAAACATATTTCAGTTGTCTCGATATTTTATACAATAAAATTATTATTATATAAATAGTTTTAGTTTAAAATTTAAACTTTAAATAATCGATAAACTTATTATTAAAAAACGAAATTTAGATGAATGCAAGATTTCATCTAACTTTAATATTGAGTCAAAATCTGATGAATCGAATCAAGCTAATTTTAGTTCTACTGGTTTAGCAGAAAAACCTGAAATACGTTTATGTAAGAATGGGGGAATGGCAGTCACCTAAGCAAGAATATCGATTTCCGGCAAACGGTTAGTCCAAAACACTATTAAATATAAATAAAAGAAGTACTAACTTGTTAGGTATAACATACTTACATTTCAGATTTTTAAAACAAATGTAAATATATTTTTTTAATTTTTTTTTAAAAAGTGGCCACCATTCCCCCTATGTAGGGGTAATGATAATCACTCAAAAATCCATGCAAATTAATAGAGAAAATCATATTTTTTTTTTTCAAAACTAAATCCACTGCAGCTTTCAGTGACTTTTCAGACCATCCTCCAATAGTTGTTTTCTTGGATAGGATCTCGGCATCTGAAATATAAATTAATTAAATTATAATCAATTTATTAAAATTATTTTATAATATAAAAATAAAATTTAAGATTCAAAAGTTAGTTTGTTAATCTTCCATCTGTGTCTGGTGTAATAGTAGTCATTTTGTAAATGACTCTCATCACCCCATAAGCACTATGAATACCCCATTCTGCAATTTTTAACAAAATAATATTTTTTTTTATTGATGATTAGTTTAATTAAATTTGCAATTACAGATTTGTAATCCTCACAAATAACTTGATATTTAAGTTACGGCCAAAGGAAAATATAATAAAATTAACTTACCTTGAAAAGCGTTTTCCGAACACGATTTTTAACAGGATAATGTGGAAAAAACTTTGATAACAATTTATTGGCGGTAAAACTTAACTGATAACTACCATATTTAAATTTTAAGATTTTGATAACAAAATTAATCATTACACGTAGTCAGCTGATTTTTAGTTACCAAGTTTCATGATAATCAAGGTGACCACCATTACCCCTTGACCATCATTCACCATTCCCCCTATATAATATCATTTATATAGCTATGGGATTTACTTGGTATGGAAATGGAAATTGTCCTCGACCAAAATGCATTATATATACAGTGAAATTATATAGGTAATCTGGCTATGGCTCCAAGTAAGTTGAAGCGTCATTTATAAACAGTGCATAATTATTTAGATAATAAAAATATCGAATACTTCAACCAACCATTAAGTTTACAAAATAAAGAATCAGCCATTTTTGAGAAAATGGTAATTAAACCTAATATAGCTCTTGAAGCTACTTATAAAATGACAGAATTAACTGTCGAAAAAAAAACCACATAGGTACAATAGGTGAATTTTTAATTCTTCCAGCCTGGAATAGCGCGTATTATGTTTGGTATACAGACTGAAGCGGAAATACAAAAAATATCTCTTTCCAATACTATTCGCAGACGCGTCCAAGATATGTCAGATGATATAGAAAAAAATGTTGGAGAAAAAATTGAAGGTTCAAATGGTTTATGTCTTCAAATTGACGAATCCACTAACATAAATGATAAATGTTATTTAATTGGGGTCATTCGTTTTATAAATAATGATAGTGTTATAGAAAAATTTTTTTACTGCAAAGAAATTAAAGAAACAACAACTGGTCTTGATGCGTTTTAATAGTATTGATTCTTAAATATCTTAAATTATAAAATTTATTTAGAGAATCATGTTTTGATAAATGCACTGATGGTGCTTCTAGAATTATTGGTTCTATTAAAGATTTTGTTTTGTTGATAAAAAAGTGTAATACAAATATACTTGCAACTCACTGTTTTCTTTGTAGAAGCTTTTTTCACTCTTGAAAATGTAAATTTGGTATTATTGACAAACGAAAAATGGTTTGCAAAACGATCATACTTAACACAAATATTTTCACACTTAAATCAAATAAATACAAGTATGCAAGGACCAAATTAAAATATATAAACATCTACTAGTATGTGATTTACTTTTAAAGATAAATTAAATATCTGAAAAAAATCAATTAAGAGATGTTTCCTATATTATCTGTGATACGAGAAAGTTCCGAAGTTATGCCTCTTGTGATGGAGCTTGTAACTAGGAACCTTAGAAGAAAGTTTCGACAAGCATTTCCCCGAACTCTTTTACCAAAATATAAAAATGTTCTATTAAATGATTTAATTAAATTTTTTATTTAACATTAATTTTTAATATTTATAATCAAATAATATTATATGATAATAATAAATAATAAAATATATAGTTAATGTTCAATGTAATTTGTTTTATAAAATATGATATGTGTAACACACATATTATACCATTGTATATATAATCACTACTTTTGTTTATAAAAAACTTAAGTTACAAAATATAAATTTAAATACACGATATATAACTAAAGTGTATTCAGTATGGACTATAGGGTACCTCCAAATTTTTATAAAATAATTAAGGGTGCTGTGAGTTAAAAAAGGTTGGATACCTCTGTCCTAGAAAAACAGATTATTACATATATTTTAAAATACTTATTTATAAAAATATTAATACTGTCAAAATAGCAGTGGACATAATATTGAAAGCAATCTTCTATAAATCTGTATTCAAAATATATATATGAATGAAAAGATGACACTTAAAAGTTTGAACAGTTAAATTAAACTAATATAAATGTAAAATATTACATTTTATTTATATATATCAGAGCTGGGTTAGTTACTTTACTCATTACTTAAATGTAATGAAATTAATAATGTTACTTTCAAGTTACAAGTATTGAAAAAAAAATTATTAACTTAAAATTAAATACTACAAAAAAATAATACTACTTACTGCAATGTTGCAATGTGTTTATCAAATTAGATGAACTAATCTTGAATGTTGATAACAGTTTTGAATTTCCATTTTATAAATTACATTTAATTATTTTTCCATTATCTGACTAAAATAAAATTTTAAAAAACTTATTTCATTGGGACCAAGAATAGTTTAATATACCCCTTCTTCATGGTTTATTTTAGAATTTTAAAGATAAAACTTAAAAATAAATAACAAAAATTGCAATTTAACATATGTGTGTACACAATGTGCAAATTTGAATTAATTGTATGTTGTGACGCAGTTAACAACAACCAAATTATTTTTATACATCTAATATTATCCATAGAAATTCTATAGAATTTGTTTATGGTTTGATAGAACTTTTATTATTGACTAATGTCTAATTTTATTTTATAGTGTTAGAGTATCTATTTGGAAAAATATTTTGTCTGACTTTTATTGAAATTATAAATACTATTACAAAATGACAAATAACTATTTTTAATATTCATATATATATATATATATATATATATATATATATATTTAGAATAAGCATTTATCTATATATTTATAAATATAATTTGGAACCAATATATTTTTATTGAAAAGTTTTTTGGATTGTAGCGTAGATGAAGTACACTAGTATTATATAATCTATGATTGTAGATACCTATTTGTAACGCGTTATATTAAAAAAATTACAAATATAAAATAATTTCCATTACATTTTCATTATATAATAAATAATGAAAATAAAATATGTAATGCATTACTACTCAACACTAATATATTCATTGTCAAAGTGTATTAATAATGTAGTTAATAATATTGAAGTAATTTATAATACATACATAATAATGATAATTGCTATAGATGTTCATTTAATGGTAATTATAACAACAAAAGTAATTAGAATAAAGTTAAAGAAACTTTATTATATTTTACTTTTTTATTTTATTTTATTTATTATAATTTGATTGACCATTTAAATGCAGTTATTGTGCCATTTATGGTCTTATTGATCACTAACAATTATTATTAAATCTATTGATTAACTACCAAAAATTGTCTTATCAACTTATCAATAGTCCTGACTCAATTACCATACCAGGAACAGGTTTAGGTAAAATGCTAAAAAAAAAAATAACTCAACACAAGATATAATGAAATTGTAAATCTATGCACAAGATAAATTATACAATTATTATAAAAAGATAATAGATATATATTACATTAACAGTAAAAGATACTTGAAAATATTCAATGTGTTTTATTATGTTTTTTATAATTCATAGTACAAATAATAATAATAGATAATAATAGGTAAATTATATTTAATATTATAATACATTTTCAATAATTTTTGATTACTTTCCAGACAAATTTGTTTAGCATTATTATGTTCATTCACTATTATAGTGGCTATTTTCTACAAAAGTATTTAAATTAAAGTTTGCAAACTATCAAATTACCACTTTAACTCTGTCAAAAAATGTGTAAACAATTAATTTATAATTGTTTATGTTTAATAGCATTTCATTACAACAATATGATATACCAAATAAATTCGCCAAATTCAACATTATAAATGGGCAAAATAAAAGGTAAGTTGTATCAAATTTTGAAAAATCAGAAATACAACCTTATTTTAAATTTTTTTAAACTAAAGTATTTTAAGTCAGTAAGATAAGAAAATGTTCCGGAAAAATATTTTATAATGATGAAATTTTTTTCATTTTTTCATTTTTATTGGTTTTTCTTTTTTTTTTAACAATTTTCACTTTTACTGTAATTTGTCATATAAAAAGACATGATAGAATTATTAAGATCTTAATACATGCATTTTTTGTTTTTTTGTTTTTTTTTTGATATATCTGAGATACTTCCAAACCCTGAATTAATATTTATGAGATGTGTAATGATTAGAGGAATAATTATGCTATATTTTAACTGTACTCGCTAACAAAAACTTACAAAAAGTAAAACATCTTAACACAAATTGGAAGTAGTATTTCATTAACGCAAATGTGATTTAATGAACAATAATAATCATTAATGAGTTAAAACTACCTGATTCACATGAAGCTATCATTCATTTGGGATATTTATACACTTTATTTTTTACATGAAAAAAGAACCAGATTATTTTGATAATAAATGGAGAAATATTATGGGGAATGTATTATATATATAGCAAATATTGTCTATTCTAAAATTCTTACAATTAGCTTAATATTCTTAAACTTAAATTAAGTTTAAATAAATAAAATTGAAAAATATACACTAAATAAGAAAAAAGTGCAATTATTTACAAATTATTTTATGGATATCTAACAACATAACGTTTCACAAATTTGAAATATAACATAATAACTATAGTTAAGTTATACTTATCAAACTTAAAACTTTAAAAACTAACATGTATTTTTTTTTTTTTTTTTAATGACTGAATTATAAATATGTATATGTTATCTTTTAAATTCACATTGAATGACATCATTTATTGATTCAAACAAATATAGTTTTAAATGGAATCAATAAAAGTGTTTTGTAAATCAAAACCATGATAATAGTAAGACAATGAAGTTATTATCCTTTACAACCATTTATGTATATAAAAATATCATTATATAAAAGTATTATATTGAATAATAACTATAATTATATTTAATGATATTTTAGTTCCATTGTAATAGATCAAACACACCAATTTGAACAAGACGAGCAAGTATCTCAATTCAATTTCATTTTGTTAATTTTTCAAATTTACCAATTATAATTTAAACAAATTTAATTCATTGATGACTAGAATTATTCATTCTATGGTACTCATTCTATACCAATTTTTTAAAGGTCATAACATTTTAGACATTAATATTTAATCAAATAGTTTCTTAAAAACTAGACGTTGTGGTTTAATTTAAAACTTGATCACATAAATTAAGATTTAAATAGTTTAGAAACTCATTTTTAATTGTCGGTTGAACTAAAAATTACTGATTAAAATAATATATTGATAGATTTTCTGATTTTCAGTTTAAAATTAAATTGTAACTTTGGCATCAATCAGGTCTAGTTAATCACTTAAAAATCGAAAATAAATTAATAAATAAATCAAAATTAATATTCAGTTCAAAATATTCTATTTAAGTTATTAAATTAAACACATGAAAACGTCAAATTAATGAAATTAAACAAATTGTATACATAAATGTATTTAATATAAAATATTTTATGATAATAACACTTAACATGATAAATGTTTTTTGTCATTGAATTTATAACCTTTATTTAAATGATAATACATAAGGATATTTGTATAATATAATCGGTAGATTCAGAAAAATATTTAATATGATACTAGTTGACAAAAATGGTGTCAAATCAAAGAGGGAATGTTACACATAGTATAATTTTTTGATTTACAAAATTTAAAAAAATTCTTACTGTAATTGTTTTGTTGAAAACATTTGATTTACGATAAGATAAATTTAAAGAGTAGAGATGTTTTAATATATTTATTGGATCAACAGTCCAATACGTTAGAAATAATACCGAAAAAGTATTATAATGTAATAACATGACCGGTGAAAATAATTTAAAAGAAGGAAAGGACGAGATGATGAAGTTGCTATAAATTTAATGTTTGGTTAAATATAATATTACTTTTTTTATATAAATATACTGCTAACGTTATAAATTTTAAAATACTAATATGGAAGAAAAAAAACATTACCCAGTCTTATTTGGAAACAACAGGTAACGAATCAAGGAATCATCATTTAAATTACAATTACAATTAATACTATAGGAGAAGGCATTTATAGTTTCACCATCCTTGAAGTCTGCAACACAAACATAATATTTATTATGATATTTATTGATATATTTTATTTAAATATTTGAATCTTTACCTCAAGTCATCCTGTTAGATGTGATTGTAATTATCAATTTCTGTAATACAATATTTAATTACGAGGTCTGCCGTCAGGCATTGACGGTCCATAATGATTTTCATACAGACCTAAAAAATAAATATTGATAGTATAATAACATTGAATACAATTTAATTATGATTTCAGAAGAAAATATAGAATACGTTTACAAATTGTAATTTGCCTTGACTATTATACAAAAGAATATAGAAAATAAACTTTATAGAATAAACTTGGTAAGCTTAAAATAAAACAATTTTTGATAATGGACCATTTTTTATTCTTGATTTCTTACAATTAATAAAGGAAATAACAAAATTAATCAAACTTTAAATTTCTAATATACTGGAAAATTAACTTTTAATCGTTCAACAGTTTAGGACATTTTACAGATATAAATATGTACATTAAGAATAAAATAGAAATAACAAAATCTTAAATACAAAATTAAATGTTGAGTTATACTTACAGTATATTTATTTAAAAACAATTTTAATTTTTTCAATTTAATTGAAATTATAAAAATAATATTTTAGGTACGTTAGATATATATATATATATAAATGTATTCTTTTATTAATATTAATATTTTTACACAATAATTAAAAATTGCATTATAATATTTATTTTAAGAAAATAATCCAAATACTATATCATTTTTAATACATATTATTCATTATTATTGTAATCAAATGTACTTAGATACACCTGTATAGAACAGTTATATATATAACAGAATATATAACAGTTTATTAATTACAAAACCTAATTACTTCATTAAATTATCAATAAATAAGTAATTAAGAAAATTTACCTTTACTTGTTATTTCTTCCATTGTCAATTCAGTACATTCAGCTCCTGTATGATTCTGCCCTCCACAATTGTAGCATGATACTTTTGGTGGATGATAAGCCAATACTTGAGGTTGCATCAACATTGGTGTTGTCGTATAAAATGTTTGTGAAGATGATGGATAATAAACAAACTCAGCAGGTTGCTGATAAACTTGTTGATATTCTGGAGACTGCACTACATGCTGTTGTGGTATGTATGGCCGTGGTACAGATGAATAACCTGACATTGGCTGAGATGTTTGAGGTTGATGAACATAATATGTTTGAGTATTATATGCTCTAGCATTCGCTCCATTATCATAAGACATGGTATAATACTGTTGGCCATTGTTGGGTATTTTTGCATGAGATTTATGAGGATTTTCTCTGGCAGGTTCATTAAAGGTTGATACTAGTCCAGTCACTGGTTTTCTGAAAAAAAAAAAAATATAACTGTTAATTATACTTATTAAAATAAAATAATAATACATTTTATCATATTTAAATACTGAATTAATTTTACAAGAATGATATAATTGTTGGTTAACCTAGCTTAAATTAACCAGGACTGGTATAAAAAAAGAAAAATAATCAACCAAATGTAAAAGACACACATAGAAAAAAATAGAGTACTAGGAATAGATACTATTTTCAAATAGTTTTTAAACTACCATTCATTTAATATAAAAATATTTAAATTGTTAAAATATAATTTATACTTCAAGTAAAATAACAATAATTATGTTCTATTACTATTTTGCACATATATATTTATATAAAAGTAAATATTTTTAAGGAAATTCAAATTCTATAAAATAACTAAAGAAGTTGTACTTAGGTTATTTTATCCATTGTATGTTAAGTCTATTATATGCAATCTTGTACTTTAATATTTTAAAATACTATACACAACTATTGCTCAGAATTTTAGGTTTTCTAACTTAAAACTTACAATTTTGCATAAAATTAATGTCTATAATTTAAAATTTACCTATTGTTGTAACTATTATTTAAATTTCCATCTCTATTGATTCTTGGTTGAGACTGTATTGGACGACCTTTATAATATTTACTGGATTGTGTATTATATACAGTGGTGGTCACTGGAGTGCTAATTGGTTTTGCTGCAGCAGCACCAGCTATGGACTCTTTTACTTCAAATCCTTTTGTTGTATTTACTTCATGTTGCAATGGAATTTCTATAAAAATAAAACACAATTTTTTTATCCTAGATTTATAAATCTAAATTTATTTATTTAATACACAAACAAAAAATTACTTGAACTTTGTGGTTTTTGATCAGCATTAGACTTGGGCTTTTCTTCAGATATATCATTTGACACAGCACCTGATTTTTCTTCTTTAATTGTAGTATCTTCCAACACTTTTAAAAGTGAAGGAACATCAATAGTTTTTGTTGATTCATTTTTAGAAGGTTCTTTAAAAGTATTTGTTGATGCTTCTGGTGGGTTTGTATCTGTAATATGTGACTGTTGTGTAGTAATAGGCGGTGAACAAGTTTTCAGTAATGTTGGCTGACATTTTGATACTGCTTGCACACTGCTGTCTGGTTTCATCTTATTTTCTGAAGTTAACTTTGAATTATATACCTTTGCACCAGCAGAACTCTGAAATTGAGTGGAAGATGGAACAGCTTTAGGACTTGTATGATTATTTTGAATTGCAGGTTGAGTAGAAACTGCTGACACTTTATCTGCAACAGTTGTACTAACTGATTTACAAGAGCTACTTTCATTATTAGCTTCAGCAGATTTTGAAGATGATGGTTTATCATTATTTGCTTCTAGTACAATTTCATTTTCACTAGAAGAATTTGTCTGAGTATTTGTTAAAGTAGGTTTAATACTTTTTGCTACTGGATCTATTTTAATTGGAGTAGTAGACTGCTATAAAAATTAAAATTATAATCAATACAATTTTTAATCATAACAATACAAATAATATATTATACCACAGGCATTGTCATTTGGCTTTTAGATTGATCTTGAGATCGATTAGCAGTAGAGTGTTTACTTTTTGTTCCATGTCCTTGATAACCACGCCCCATACTACTTTCTGGATAGAAAGAAGGAACCTAAATTAAACAAACCAAATAAGGTTAACTAACTTAATCAGATGCAATTAACCATATTTTATAATATTTTAATAATATTAAAAAAAAAAGAAAACAAAATTACTGAGAAGTAAAAAAGTTTAAACTACAAGCAATGACCTGGATATTGAAATATTTTAAAAGTACATTTAAACATAGATAATTTTGTAGTTCTTTATAAATATAATATTATTCCAAGCTAAGCATTAATTTATAAATAAATATTAATTTACAGGTAAATTAACTATTTAATAATTTCTAATTTTTATTTTATTTTTAATATTTTATTACATGATATAAGTTTTATCATTGCAAAATGCATTGTTTTTTCTGTCATTTAAAATATAAAACACCAACTACACACAATATAAATGCACATTTAAATTTAAATTAAATAATTTAAAATAGTACTAAAATCTCCCCTTTTTTTATTATAATTAATTTTTCTAATTAATAAAAACATTTGAAATTTGTTATTTTTTATGGAGTACTACAACCATTACATTTTTATTTAGAAATCTATATATTAAACACAGCGATTCAAATAATTTACTATATTTATTATTAAAAAATAATGCATGAAGACATGATTTAATGTAACAACTAAACTAATGAATGACTATACTACTATAAAAATATAATTAATTTTATCATCCAATGTTATATTATTACATATTTATGAACATACAATAAAGTATGAAATTTAATATAAATGGCTGGATTTGAAAAAAAAAATAAAGTCATTGATTATAAAATATAATTAAATACATTATACTCTATAATCAATGCTAAAGAAAAACAGAAGAAAAAATATGTTCAATCTAAATTTCAAAAATATAATTCCCCTCGAGTACTAGATAATATTACAATGTTTTTAAATATTTTTATGGAGAATTTTGAATAAAAAATAGCAAAACCTATTTATAACAAATAATAAAATTAATATAATATAATTCTTTCAAATAAAAATAAGTATCAAATAAGTATACCACTTACCATTCCCGGAGTGTAATTATAATTAGCATACATATTATGGGGTGACATTTGATACATGTTCCAATTATTCCAGGGCTGTGCAAATGGATAACTAGGATCCGAAGGATTACGATACCTAGTCGGAGTTGGATGTCTTTGTTTTGCATTAGTGTTTGGTGGTGGATTTCGAGGATTTAATTGGAATGTACGTGGAGGCCATGATATTGGACTTGATGATTTGGAAAAATTAGCCTGATGAGGTCCTCGAACTGCTGAAATTGCTGAAGGTGGCGGATAGTCGTAACAAACTTGCATCGGTGGTACATTTACAGGAGGAAACGGATAGTCTGAAAATATTATCATTCTACAGTTTAAACTGGCCAAAACAATAAAGTTAATATTATACTTACAATGCCGTGGATATATATATCCATTTCTGTTGAGAGGAAAATTTGATCCTCCATGAGCTGGCTGATACATATAATTAGGTGGTGGAATCATAGTGTTGATATTCTAAAACATAAATATAAACAAATATAACTAATGATTAACTAAAAACATCATTAAACAAAATGCATATTTTGATTTACTTCTGAATAAGATTTAAGCATTAAGCAATAAAATGGCATACATTTGGATTGTAAACTGGTTTATTTACTTAAAATATACAATGATAAAAATAAGTTAACATAAACCTAAAAAACATTTACCTTGGCGAGGGGCAGGGTTCAATATTTTTAATATTTCACTAGATAATAATTTTGATAATAATTAATTTTATAGTACTAGATAGATCAGCAATGGATTATAAAAATAACCTTGACAAATGTTTATGATATTAAACATAAATTGTAATAAGCAATACTTATTTTCATAATTTGTTAAAATGTTGTAGGCGGGGGATTGAATACCTAAACCTCCATAGGCAAACCTCTAAATATATGCATTATACAAAATAAATTTTTTGCAAATTAACTTATATTGTCATTGTTTAAATAAGAACAGGATATTAAATTATTTTAAAAAATTAATTTTTATTTAAAATTAAATTAAAAAAAAATTATACTCGGACAATTTTTTTATTAAAAATGTCAAGGTTAATATAATGAATAAATTATTAACAATAAATAATAATAAAAAAAATATATTCGCTTATAATACTATTAATATAGTCAAACTATTTTTAAATTGTTAATCTTTTTTTCAGTTAATTTGATTTAATTTAGGATATTTAATTACAAAGATACAATTAATTACCCAAAGACAATGCAATCAAATTGAGTAAAAATCTATAAATATTAGTGCCAACAATATTATAATTAAGAGATGTGCAAAATATAATTTTGAAAACATATTTAGAAAATGTATAATGATAATAATTAGTAATAAATTTTGAAAAATTATAAACTTTAATAATATATATCTGTTGTTTAAGATAACTTAAATTATAAGGTGAAAATAAATCGCATTTGTTTTAAACACAAATATCTATGGAACTTTAATAATATTAATTAAATTATTAATTATTCAATTATGATTATATTAAATATTTATAAGACTACAACTCATGTACAATCTTACAATACACTTTTGAAATTAAATTTAATAAAATAATTAATTTTTTTGTACTACACATAAATAAGAAAAATTTATAACCACACAAATAAAGGCTAAATTTAATTTCAAATTCCTTGATTTTATTTGATTCCAGTGATTAGAATTAAATTTTAGAATGTTAGTTAGCTTACACATGGTTTTACCACACAAACTAATCATTTTCACAAACAATTTCATAAGGTTTTTTCTAATTTTTAATGCTGTTTTAGTTAAATCAATTAAATCAATCAATTTTAAGTTTTAAGAAGATAGATTAGGTTGGAAAAAAAATTGTAACCTAACAGTATTTATCACACATAAGCAAATATTATACTAAATTTTGATTAGACAAATCAGGGCTTCAAACTCAAACTAGTCCAACTTCATAAAACTCATAAAAGTATTTTTAAATCTTATAAATAAAATATTATAAATACATTTTAACATATCTTACTTTAATAATCTAATTTCTTCGTGATTTTTTTTATATTTTTATTTTTAAAAGTTGTGAAAATAAATATAACATAAATTGTTCTATTTCTATACTTGTTTTTTAACTCCTTTTTCAACTATCAGTAAATATAAAACTTTAATGTAATAAGGAATTAAGTAAATAATACGATGCATAATTGTAGGTGTAATCAACTATAAAATATTAGTTTAATTTGAACTTTAAATAATTGTATTGAAAGTAAAATAAATCTTTACGAAAAATCATATGACCATAAAGAAATAAATTCCAACTGGTAATATATTAAGCCAAAATGAGTTTATAAAATTGAAAATACATTTATTAAATAAATAAAACAAATACTAATTTATTTTATGATTTAAAACCCTGAGATACGATCATCAAGCTATAAGATTTAAGTTCAAAGCCCTAATATGAATATAATATATTCAACTACCTATTCAAAATCAAAATACGTACATAATACAGTAATGTGATCTTTGGCAGTGAAGATATTCACGATGTGGTATTTAATTGTTAACCAATCACAGATGTTAGAAATACTCCAATTTTGCTGGTAACACGACAAGATCATATGAGTGCTGCATAAAGAAATAAAGTAGGTACATATAGATAGAAACAAAAATAATTTAAATCTTAAATTAATTAAATAAGCCTTAAAAATATTACATAAAATAATTATCTATGAAAAACAAAAAATACAAAGATAAATAAAAAAAATGATATTCATACATTTTACACATGTTCAACTATTTACTAATTCCAATATTAGTATTAATAATAATAAGTTAACATATAATGAATTTCAAAGAAAAATAAATAAATGGCAGGAAAGTTCTGGGAAAGTCTAAGCAATTAATTTAATTGATACATGATTTTTATTTTAATAAAAAGATATGAGTGATTTAAAGTAGACTATAATTAAAACAATAAAGTTTCAAAATTGTGCACACTATTGAAAACAATTAAAAAATATAAAACAAGTATGAATATGAATAAAAAAAAGTTTAAACATAAAAATTAAATAACCAATGGTTAAATTCTTTAGGAAATATAACCCTATATTAAGAATATTAATAATTAGTTTTTAAATATATTTATAATTTTACATGAGAAGTTTTGAAATTTTTATTTACACTTAATCCAGATCCAATTATTCCTCAAGTTATTCTATACATAAATATCATACTCTAATCATATTTAACAAATTTAAAGAATTTATGTAAATTATTATTTATATTTACCAACATTAAAAATACGAAAAAAATATTAATTATTATAAGTCATTCCAAGTAAACTTAGAATTGTATTGGAAATTGCATTTAATATTACTAAGGTAGTTCTTATTTTTATCTAAAATCTAACTAAACATGCAAATAATTAACTATTTATTATCAATTTTAAATTCTAATTAAAACGAAGAATATACTAAATTTATTTTACTACAATGAGTTTTATTTGTATTTTTTATATTTGTTCACACAATTTCTTACAATATCAAAAGGAGAGATGATTTTGACAACAAATTTAGACTAGCAATTAAATTGTTGAGAAAATAATCTAAATTTTTTTCAATATTTTTCCAAATAATAGAAAAAAAAAACACGTAAAATTACCAATTAAAAAAACAGCAAAATTTCAATAATAATGAAAATAATTATTATAGAGAATTGACATTTTTACTAAATAATAATATTACTGTTCAGTTATTAGTACACTTTCTAAAGAAATTTTTTTTTTAGCTATTTATATACAATTGAAATGTTTATTTCTTTACTTTGGTCTATAAAATTTGAATTCATTACTTAACTATGATAGTTTTAGTTGAACGAAAAATCTTGAAAATTGAATAAATTGTTTGTACAATTTTCTCTGTTTTGTAGAAAATCATAATTTTTTTTTAAAAAATGTTTAAATTTAAAATGATGACAAAACTCAATAAAAATCATAGAAATCTGAAATATTTTTGTAGTTAAAAATTCATATAATTTTCAATATTAAGTACTTAAGTATCTAAAAATTGAATACAAAATTCTTTACAAGTAGTTTTTTGTAGTAAACAAAAAATAAATTTCCAATCTCATAAATGTTAACGTGAGAAAATTAATTTTTGACAAAATTAAATATTTTGAAAGTTATTTAGTTGTCTAAAAATATTTATTATATGGACTTGAAACGTAAACTGGATACTTATAACATTATTAACGTATTAACATTAAATAAATATTATAATAATAAGTTCAACTGTTATTATTTAATAAATTAAATCAACTCCAAAGTTAATACTTATATGCATTTTTTTTGCAAAATTATTAAACGAGTACTTATAATTTATACTTATATTGTAATGTATATTATCTTACCTAACCACAATACTTTAATCTTTTTATAAATTGTAGTTAATATTTTATATAATTTTATCTGTCAGAATAACAGTACATTTTTCAATCAACTTTTCAACTTTTAAGTAATTAAAGACATAAAATAAGAGTAATAAATAACAAAATATTAAAAAGAAAGTTTCTTTTAGTTGTCTACTTTTGAAAAAGTAAATAATTTATTATGAATTAAAAATTTATATTATTTGTATAATATCTTAAAAACTGTAAAAAAAAATGTTCTTAAAACAAAACTAAAAATTAAGATATTTTTAATAAATGTATGAGAAAAATTAATAAATAGTATTTCTAAATTATTTATTCAAACAATTATAACATTAATATCTTGAATCATAAATAAGGATAATAAAAGAATTGTATGAAGTTTAAAAAAATAGTCAGTAAATATTTAGCTCATCAGTGATAATAGATACTTTATACAAAATTAATATTATTTTATTATTATATTATATTTATTATTATTGCCTTATTGTTAGTATTATTTTAAACTTTAATTATTAAATAAACTTTTACTATATCCACATATTTATACAAATAATACTCTGATGTTATTAGATTGACATATATATTTTAAATTTGCTGAATAAATTTTAACTATTCATAAAAATAATTTTAGTATAAAAATTTAGGTATTAAATTTAGGTATCCTCCCTAATCCCTTGAATCATGTTATCTGTTTTTTTTATTTTTACTGTCACTTATCAAACCTACTTATTATACAAAAAAATTATATGTGTAGATTGTAGATTTCTTCATTAATAAAAAAAAAAAAAAAAGTATAAAAATGTTTAGGCATAGATATAAATTTCAATTTCAACAATTTATTAACTTAATACTGAGTAGACATATTTATTAAATTATAGCACTACTTTTAAATTATATCAAAATAATAATCAATAGTATTAATATAAATTAGAAACTCAACATTATATTATAAATAATTAAAATACGAACAAAATATTTATAATATAAATAATAATTTTTACTATAAAAACATATTTTTATTCGAGTTTTTAACTAAACTAGATTTAAATAAAATACCATTTTTGTATGATTCTACTTGATGGCATCAACAATACATTTTGTGTAAATTTGAATGCATAGTAATGTTTTTTTTATGTAGCGCAATTTCAATAATTATGAAAAAATGTAATTTATTAATTAATATTGTATATACAAGATTCAATAAGCAATAACATCCAGAAACCATAAAACTAAATATGGATTTTTTTCAATTTCAAGAATGTTGAAATAAAATAAGAATTGAAACTTGAGTACTTAAAAAAATATAATATGTAAATGAATAAAATTAAATAGTTCATATATAGAAGTAAATAAATGCTTAGCCTGGGCTATTACTATATTTGTAAAGTAAAACTAGTTTCTGAGTTAATAATTCATCATCAGGTAGAACAAAGTCAATAAAATCGGGACTTTAAAAGTGATGAATTTTTAATTTGAAACTGGTCGTACTTTATAAATTTAATAATATTCCAGGCTGACCATTTAATTATTATTATATATAAACTATTTTTTCAACTATTTATATATTAATTTATGAGTAACCATTTACCTAATAATTTTTAATTTTAATTTAATTTTTTATTATTTTATTAACAAAATATAAATAATTATGTTTTTGATACCTAGCTTTTAGAATAATAAAATTCTTGATTAAAATAAACATTGTTAATTTAGAAAAAAATTATTTATATACATTTGAGAGATATAAAAAGAAAATTTGATTAATTTGTCATACCTTATGAAAATGTTTTTAAGATTTCTAAGTACTACTGCAATACACCACTAAAATATTCAATTTTAATTTTTAATAATAGTCTTTTCAATTTAAGCTACATTTTGGATAAATATAGTTGCAAGTAGAAGTTTTAACATATAAAATTTAATTTTCAACAAAATACTCTTAAAAACATAAGTGTCTAAATTAGTCAATACCCCGGTTTACACATACAATCATTTTATTATTTGATAAAATATGATGCTTATTTATTAACTATGTATCTATATGAAATTTCAAAATTAAATTATAACGAAATAAGTAATTTTTGGTAATACATAATTCATAACATTAAAAAATACACTTATACACCTACCTCTACACTATCAGAAGATTCTTTATCTTGATCGTTGTCTTTATTTTTTAATAGTTGCCTTTCTTTTTCTTTTTTAATACAATTGAATATACTATCTAGTTGAGTCTTTTGTTCAAATATAAACGCCGGATGATTTACAGCCAATGTATACAATACCATAAGCTCTTCAAATGCGTTTTTATCGTTGAAGAACGTTTTGGGACACTTGAATATGCGTTGTAAGCCTTTGTCGTCAGTCAACGCTTTATAGATAAGTTCTGAACACTTGGTACTGTTTGTATTCAACACGGACAAATACTTGATCACCGCTGCCCTAACAGTTTTATCGCAAATACACTTGCAAGCTACTTCACTGACGTTAGCTGGATCGTTGGCTTCAAGTTCCAATTTTTTCAATATATGAATATCTCTTTTAGATAAGTTATCTAAGCAAGTGCCGAGGTACCTCAATTCAATTGGAAGACAGTGGCTTTGGAGTCTACACATCATCCAAAGCCGCTCGTAGCTTTTAAGTGTTTTGAAGTAAGCAACTACTTCGTCTATACAAACCATTTTCGGGCAACATCACAAATACGATTGAATCACAAACACAATAACATGATAAGATGATTCACTGATTTGTCGATATGCGGTCGTCGTCGTGGTTGTCGTCGTTGTCGTGATCGGCGGCCACCGAGAAACACGGGAAACTGTTAACTACGAGTTAAAAATAATCGATGAACTCGAATACTCGGATGATACGAGGAAAAAAAAAAATTCTGCTCGCAAGTCAGAAAACCCCTCGAAAGCACAATGGGAAGATGATTGACCAACGACAAAAGATTAATGGGAAAATTCCCTGGATACGATTTTTTCACCCTCCGAACATATGGGCCGTTTTCCAAATTTCTTCCCGGAAACGTTGGAAACCACTTGCGCTCGACGCGTCATGGATTTCCCGACGATTTTTAAGCGTGACACAATTCTCACCGCGGAGAATCGACCGAAATTCCAATTCGCAGACGCCCGAGACCGATCCGAAGCCGTTCGCGTTGCACACACTGCATGTTTGTTGATATGCACGTTGCTCGTATCACGCACCCGGGCTTATCGGTCGGACGGGTACAGCTGCCGACGCCGACGGCTACGACTGATACGGTTACACGTCGATTTCACGGATTTGCTGACCGGACGCTGTTCACCGTGTCCGTAGCTGTTGTACGTCGGTTTCCGATCGGTTCGGGCTGCGGAGACGACCGCACGGTTCGTCGGTGCCAGTTCTCTTCGAGATGATGGCGAACAACTTTCTGGGCACGAAAGGATCGATTAGCCGTGCCGTTCTACGAGTCAAATGTCACGTACGGAACAACTCCACGGCAAAATATTGCTTGGATTTGGTCAGGTAAATATTACATGCTTACGGTTAACGCAGCATGGTATGCGTATCGCATGCATTCCAAGCCTTTCTTGTATCGACCGTGTAATCTCTTTAACTGTGAGAATAGCGCTGCGCGTAAGACAGATAAAATGTATGAAATTGGCATTCAGTTGTCCAAGACGAACCGATTTGCAATATTTTCAGTTAAAAATGAAAATGCAGTTGGTCAACATTAAACACTGATCCTATTCATTCTCGATATAACCAAAATTGTCAGCTTTTTACATTTAAATGTAATTTGAAGACAACAACTTGAGTTATCTCAATATTACTATTATAAATAATAGTTATTAAAAAAAACTGTTTAACAGTGCGAATTTCATTGTACTGTTAAAAAATTGTTTAGTTACTGCATATTTATTTGTGTCTTTACTACTGTAATTAAATTATTTAAATCTAATTTAAGTCAAATTAAAATTTATATTATAAAACTATATAAAAATTAATAATCATTATTAGTGTATTTTCATTTTCAATGTGCTCATATTTAAAAGTTTCTTGAAATTAAATTTTGAATATAATTACTAATTATATATGTTATTAATCAGCTTTGTTTAAAATATAAATTATTAAATAAAATATAACTGTCATTGTTATTTAACAAAATAATTATCCTTTGGTATTAAAAATTACTATAAATAATTTTTTTTCATGATTAATTGAGTATAATTATTAACAAATACTAAAAGTTAAGTACTTAATAATATTAAATATAATATTTGTAAACATTTTTATCCATTGCCATCAAACTAATTCCTACTGATTATTAATTAATATTGTTTAATCTCTTTCTCTATACTGTTAACTATCTGAATTTCTTGTCATCAATTTAAATTATACTTCATTGATTTATTCATTTTGGTGAAATTATACGCTATATATATTATTTTCAATGCATATATTCCATTTATATCACATATTTTTAATAAAATATACTATCTTTTGACTATAAATATTATTATTATTTATACCTACTATAAAATAATGATAATTTTTATCAATTTAATAATAATTATAGCAAATTCAAAATTATTAATAGAATAATAAATATGCAATTTCAACAAAATAAATACATAATATTAATATATTAAGTAGTACTCACCATTATTATTTCACCAAACTACTACATTACAAACAGCAAAATCAAAATATTTTAAAAATAGATAATATATTAGTTTATATAATATAATATTAAACTAATCAAAATAGCATAACATAGTTCTTTTTATAAATAAAATAATTTCCCAATTTAATATTAAATTAATAAAAATGTTTTTGTTTAGGAAACATGATTATGAAAACTATCTATGTACACTATTACTACATAAAGATATTAGAAGGACAGGATTTGCTATCAGAGCATTTAATATTGAGGTAGCTACTATTCAAGATCAAGTAAGCGATTTAAAAATTGGTGAAATGCGTTTTAAATTCTGGGAGACATCGTTGGCTGAAATATATAATGATAAAATACCAAAACACCCAGTGCTCATAGAATTGTATATAGCAAGTATTTATCTACTAATTAATTTAAAAATATATATTCTAATATATTATAATTATTACAGGCAGCAAAAACACATAAACTGAGTAAAACATATTTGAAACGTTTAATTTCATCTCGAGAACAATTTATGTTAAATTCCACATTGAAAACCATAGGAGATATGGATACTTATGCTGAAAACTCCGTTTCTTCAATATACTATTTATTTCTTGAAACAATGGGTTTGTATTTTTTCATTTCTATTAAATATCATATTTTTATTATTAATATTATTATAATCATTTCAAAACAATTATATAATTTAAGTGCAACAAAATTCAATTTCTAAATAAACTGCCATTTAATTAATTTTAATAATGAAATAAAATAATAATTTTGAAATTTTTTTGGTGAGTATTTTTTATTTGAATAAAATTTTTAATTTAAACTACATTTTTAAGTAACCAATTTAAAATTTAATAGAATAATAAAGAACATAGACAATAAGAAATCTCTCTACAGCAAAATGATCATGAAGGTTCTCTATGATTAAATTTTAAACTGATATAAAGCAATTGCTAATTATGTTTATAAATTAATGTTTGAAGAAAACTATAATTTTAGTACAATTTTAAACAATTGACGATTGTCAGTAATTTGAAAAACTGAATTATGTTATTTTATGTAATTTATAATAAATTTTAATAATGAAATTTTCAGTTTCAATTATTTATTAAATTGTATTGTTCATTTTTTAAATAATTCTATGATTATTTTTCTTAGTTTTAATAACTTCATTGAATTCGAAATGTTTGTATCTATTTTTCTTTCATTAATTTTAAGTATTAAATACTATTCAATACTCTTTTTATATAACTGAAAGATAAAGATCTTAAATAAAAAATTTAACTATCCAAAATAGAAATGTTAATAATTCTAATACATTTTTAAATGCTATTTTGTAATATATAACCAATTTAACAATATGTATAATAATTTTACCAATGAATAATAATAATTCCCCTTTTAAAATAACTACTCTAATATTACTTATGGTAATAGTTAACCATACTTTTTTTTCAAAGTAACATTTTATGTACTTTTTTTCTAAGTTTTTTCTAGTGTATATTATTTTTTTTAACATAAAAATTAAATAATTATCATTATAAAAACATTATTTTTTTTCAATGTAATATATATATATATATATATAGTTTTAGGATTTGGTTTATTAAATATAAATACATGTATCGTAATAGTTAATATGCATGAGTAATTGCAGGAATCAAGAGTGTATCAGTTGACCATGCAGTTAGTCATCTAGGTAAATGTCAAGGTATTGTAAACATCATTAGAGGCATACCGCATAATGTCAAATTAGGAAGAATATCAATACCTCAAGATATTATGTTGAAGAATAAAGTTTCTTATGAAAATATCATTAGAAATTCTAATGAAAGGAATGTGCAAGATGCAATATATGAAATGGCTTCCAGAGCCAATAGTCATCTAATTAAAGTAAATTAAAATTCCTTTTAAATAATAACTATTTAATCATCTGTGTTGAATGCATTTGTTTTTTTAGGCCAATAAATTGGAGAAGGATGTAGACAAACGAGTTAAATCAATATTTTTACCATTTATCCCTCTACGTTTGTATTTGGAAAAGCTTCAAAAAGTAGATTTTAATTTATTTGATAAAACACTACAACAACGAAATAACTTGTTGCCTATAAAATTATTATGGTATAAAATTACTCATTGAAATTATTTCAATATTTCCTAGTTATTTTTAAGAATATACTTTTTGTTTATTAATAATAATATTTATGATTGTTATAATTATTACCATTATTATTACTAATTTAATTATTTAAATTTGTTAAATACCTATTACTGTGTAATAAAATTACTTTTATTTATGTATATGTTTTAAAATGTTTTTTATTTAATTTATTAACTTCTTTAGTATCAAAAGATACTATACGGTATAAACAACAGTTGTAATTCATTAATTTAAATTACAAAATTATTACTAAATCTGAAAATTATCTTATATTTTTTTGTCAATTCTTTTTTTTTCACTTTTAAAGCTATTGTAATGTATAATATTGATTATGACACTGATGTTTATAATATAAGTTCTATATTATTTATTGTATTTTAGTTAGAGATGTTAAAATACGTTTTTTTATTTTTTTGTATAATACCGTATTATACCGTATAAAACCTTGCAATGTCTTAAATTATAGATAATTCAATAAAGGTTATAACCACATTGTTAATTATGAAGTATTAATTATTTTAAAATGGATAAATTGAAAGAAATGGCTAGAAAGTTAGAAAAAATTTAAAAAAAACACATAATACAAAAATTATTTTAGACTTAATTCACCAAATTAATATATTTGCCATGCTACCAATTTGCAATTATGATATAGTTACCATACGTATGTATGTTTTGCATAAAAAAACATCTGTTTTAAATATAAATAAATAAAAAACTATACATAATACTTATATAGTTATATACTAATTAATTGTACCTATATTTACAATATTTGTATTTTATAATAGTTCAATAAATTGATTTAAGTTATTTCTAACATATGAATGCTAAATAAATATGATTACAATTATTTTGTATATTTTTAATTTTTATATAGTCATATAGCTTCAATACTGTATTTTATTGGAAATCAACACTAGAAAATTAATAAATGAGTTACTAAAAATAACGTATTAATTTTTTTTTTTATATATATACAGTCTGTATAAAATAATTTTATAATATGTATAATACTTTGTATAATACAGTTTTATATCAATGTATAATACAAACTCACATATCTAGTTATAATAAACAATATATAGAATATACTTATTTAATTAAAGCATAGTTTCAAACAAAAATATAAATAACTTTATAAAATTTGATTAATTATTATTTTTTGCTTGAAACTAGGCTTTAATTAAATAAATATATTATATATATTGTATATATTATTCAAAATGCAATTAAATGTATTGCATTTTGCATATTCCTTTTTAATTTAATGGCAAATTGTTAGAAAATACAAAGAAATTATTACATTAGTAATCATAAATAAAATATACAATTAACATTAGAAAAAGATATGTGATGCTGCATTAATATTACGTTATTATTAATATGTTAGTATAAATATATATTTTTTTAACTTATGGATAAAAATAATCTAACAAGTGTATATTTTTGGCATTGAAGATCTGATTTATATAAATATTTGTTTTTAAGTATAAATTTATAGAATAATAATTAATTATGTTATTTAATTATGAAGTTATTTGTGATTATTATCTAATCAAACGAGAAACATCAAAAATTGTAGTTAATTTATTTTGTTATTTTGTTATTTTTGTTATTCTTTAAACTATAATTTCTAAAACCAAATAAAATTTTATCAAAAAAATTCCATCTAAATAATTTGCTGGGTATTTTATAGATACTTGAAAAATAATTTGTATTTACATCAAACTTAAGATACTTATATAACTTATAATAATATTTTGGAATGATAAAGATCATGTTTAATGAGGTTAAAAAGTTAAATTAATTATAATTATCATCCTATTACAAATTAATTTGTGTTTGAATCAATCAAATTAAAATATATAAATTGTATTTTAATTATTTTATAAAATTTAAAATATTTTATCTTTTCATCTCGATTTTTAGCAAAATATTTTATGAAAATAAAGATTATTTTACAACTGTTAAGCTCCTTAAGTTCACTAACATAATTCTGTAAATTTTTTTTAAACATCAGTATATGAATTTAAAATATTATTATATACATACTTACTTCACAATCTTTGTTTTCTAAAATTCCATGTTATACCAACATCCTTATAGTGTTAAATTAATTGAATAAATGTTAAATTTATTGATTTTATCTAATTGTTAATTCTTATTTCTTATATTATACAGCACATATTTCTCTTATACTCTAATACTACTCTATTATCCATGAACACTTTGAAAATATATGTTTCGTAATTTCGTATTTATATAAATATCATCGAATCGAGTATTAAATAATATAATTAACGATCACATATTTTGTGAATCAAATATTACTAAACGAATCAGCTAACCATATTAACTGCTCAACCGATCTCTTGTTTCGATCGTAATTATTATTTAGATTTACTTCCTACCGAGAAATGAAAGCTAAACAAATTATTTTATAATTTTTTTTATAAAATAAAACACTTGAAGTTACATTTTGTAATATTGTATAGTTAATATGACATAAATAACAGTGTTTCATTATGCAAAACACAAAAATATAAATATTATAGAAATAAGTTAATGTAATTTACAAAACATACAAATGTATAAAAAGTATGCATAGATTTTATAAGACAGTATAAAAACGTAAGATATTTATCTTAATACCTAATCTTATATCAACATTATGTTAATTTTATAGAAACATTCAAAAATTTAACCAGTTATAAGTAATGTAAACGAATGCAATTGAAAATATCGATTAATATATAACTCCAAAATGATTTATCATTAATTTTTAAAATGTTTAGTGGTTACCTATTACAATGCACAAAGCTGACTATTAAGAACCATAAAAATATCCAACGAAATAGGTACGATATAAATTAAATTTTTTCGTCGTAGATGTTATTATATATTTTCGGAAATCATTTAATAATTGTTTAAAAATACTCAGTGAAAGTATTATATTCATTATTAATATCATTTCTAAACTGTGTGTGTAAAATTATTCATTTATTTGGGGTTTTTTTTGCATGCCCACCTATATTTTTAACGTAGGAAATATAAACAATTTAACGAAGAGACTTATAACTATATACAAACATAATTTAAGTTCATTACTTATTATTAATTATTAAATATGTAAACACTCATGTACACAGGTATATATACTCGTGAGTATGCCAATGTCAATCAACATATATTTTTAAAACCTATACTTATTTATAAAGGAATTAGTCCAGACCATGATCAATCGAACTAAGAGAGCTCAATGCTCCAAAAAACAATAATTTTAATTTGTTTTATACTTTTTTTTCAAATAAATAAAAATGTATGGTAATATTAAGTTATCTATGTACCCATATTTGTTTAGAGACAATCGATGTGTAAACCTTAATATTACATACTTAGTAGGTATTAAGTATTATTAATCATTGTTGGTTGCAGTGATCGAAATGACTCTGAATAAGTGGGGCCGAGATGTTTTTCAATGAATAGCATTTTCATAAGTATTCTACTTTATCTCCTTTAAAAAATATGTATAATATATTAGTCAGTTAATAATTAATTATTTAATATAGTTATCCTTAGTTCATTCATTTTTTTTTTTTAAGATAAAAAGTTTTGGAACAACTTTGCTTTACCGGAAACCCCTTTTTTTAGCTATTTTTTTTCAAACTTAGTCATTTTTTAACGAAAAAAACCTTAGCGAAATCAGAATTTGGCGCTCAGACTTAGTTTTCAAGTTATAGATTTACAAAGTTAAGCGTTTTATTTAAATTTTCTTTATATACCATTATAGGTAAAAAGCTTATTCTTTACAACAGTGGCTGGTGTAGGAAAGCGTCGACCAAAGTATAACTTAGGTGAATGGTTCGATTTTCCCATGTAACACCCCAAACATTTTTTGCACTTTTTATGTACATATTATCTGCTAAAAACAATTTATATTTATTTTATTCCCTATTTCTATCCAAGGTATTACGGGATCACTCGCTCACTCGGACAGTTAAAAACGAAAATATCCTCCGATTTGCTATTCAACACCACCCCAAGTAGGTCACAGGATAAAAAAAAGGAGCTTTATATGTAAACCAAAAACCTCGCTGCGCGAGTAAATCATATTTAGTTAAACTAAAAATGTATTTTATTGTTGCACCAAATAACACCTACCAATCGTATTAAAAAAAGAAAACGAAAAAAATGATATAAATACACATTTAATTAGGTTTACTGTTCCTTTACAATAAAATAAAAACCGTTATTTTAGTGATAACTGCAATAGAAAACTATAATCTTTATCTATGTAGATAATGCAAAATATTTTTGAGGTCGGATCAGAGTTGAGCAAGGGAATTCCGCGCAAAATCCGTTTATAAGACTACTGCATCGTAAAAATCACAGAAATATTAGGAAACAAACTATTCATTTAAGTGTGTTGTAAAAAAAAAGTTTAACTTCATAGGCCTGTAACTTGAAAACGAAGTCCGAGCGCCAAATTTTGTCTTCACTATCGTTTTTAGTACACAAACTACATTGTTTCAAAAAAAAAAATTACAAAAAAAAAGGGTGTCCGGTAAAGTATATTTATACCAAAGTTTTATACTATAATGTTTCGTAAACTAAAATATTGTAAAAAATGAAAATTTTCAGAGAAATGCGTGAGTTAAAAAAAAAAAATTAAATAAGTAGACATATAAAAAGGTAATGTAAAATATGATTTTTATTCCATCCTTCTTTATCCACCGTTTAATAATTTTGACTACAATTTAGTATAGTATAATTAGGATTCACCAAGAGAGAATTAAACAATAAAATATTATAAACATAATACAATAAGGTAATTGTTTAACATCTCTGTATTTTACCACAATAATGTTTTATCTACTCCGTAGATGTTGAGTTAGCTCCGAGCATTTAATTCCGTTAATTCGACTATTCAATAGACCATGACGTCGATCCGAAAATTATTTCACCACTTTCAACTACTGTATGGGAATATAATAAAATCTACGAATTTGCGTAGTACAGTCACTTGGCAACAGCAAAATGAAAGTTGATTGGATAACAAATAATGAGCAATAATATAAGAGTTCACATATACATGGAGAATACCAACAACACAGTAGAAACGAGAAACGATAGCTGGTACGAAGTAGAAACATGGACGCAAAAATTATTAGACGCCAAAATACTTAAACAGAGAACGGTCACGGTTTTCGGTATGCCAAGAAAAGTGCGGCCACCGTTCCACGAATTTAATGTCGTTAGCCGATATTATGGCCCTGCAAAAATCATCCCACAAGTATACCGTGCGGAAGAAATATTTCCAAGTTCCGAAGGTATTCCGAATATTTGAGGGAAAAAATTAAATGTCACCGATTAAGAATAATCAATAAATTATATTATACAGCGACACTCGAATGCGAGAGTTAAACGGTTTATTTATCACAATGAGTTATTGTATTTATTTATGTACCTACCTATATTTTAAAATTAAGTAATTTTAATTTTTTTTTTTAATTTTAACTTGATTTTTACTTAAACAATAATTTTATCATTTTTACTCACTCATTTGAATATTTTTTTTATATTGGGTCCAATGCACTATAGGAAGAAAAATATTATATTACTATAAAATTATGAAAGCTTTCATCTTATAAAATATATGTACTTAACAAAATCGTCAGTAAATTTTAAAATAACTATTAAAAACTGATGATAATTAATAATAGTGATATAATATGATGGTATTCATAATTTCGTGGAGAGAGGTAGCAAGCAAATTGATTCCTATGGATTTTATTTTATAAAACCTAATTTATAATTCATATATTACTGATACATATTACTTAGTTACACCCAGTTTTAAATTGTATAATAATCCAGTTTATCTAATATATTTATATAATTATTAAACCTATACATTTTAAATATTAGGATGCTGAAAATATTATATTGATTAAGTTGTATAAGGATAAGACGGGAAAGATAATACATTTAGTTATAAAAATACAAACAACATATGAATGTATGACAGTTTATATTTAGACTTAAGAAACACAAGTAATACCTTGGTTGATAGGCAGTTCCAGAATATAATTTAATTCCTCGTTTGGAAGATAAATATAACATATAAGTATAGTTTATGAAGAAATGTTCAACTTGAAGATATATACGAATACACTTTCAAACACGCACAATTTTTAAATCGTATCTAAAGAATAACAATAAAAAAAAATAGGGGAACTACCATATAAAATTGTTGAAAATAAAATTAAAATTTGAAAAATCCTTTTTCCAGCTTATATACATTATTCAGATGTCAATTTTTTGATATCGTTGTTTAATGAATCAACGCCAGACTGCATTTTAGCAGCTTTTTCATCCATTTCCTTGCACACCAATAACTTACTGGCGTTCTTCTGATTTATCTCTTGGTATCTGAAAATTAATTAAAAATATGTATATAGATTATAGACGAATAGCACGGACATTAAATGTAATGAATGTCAAAAATTAAGAGTACCTAACAAGTAATAAAAAAATATATTATACTAAAAATATTTTTTATAAGACTTTTGTCATAGTTTTGTTAATGTGTGTTTTTATAAATCAAATGTAATTTAATAAATTAAACAATTAATGAAAATTTAATTTAAAGTGTTGATTTCCTTTTTTAACTTAATTCATAGAATACCTAGTCTAGAGATTTGTATTTACTGAATTAGAAATAATCTGATTATGAGGGTACCTACCTAATCAAAACATTAAAAACACATAAATATCTTAATATTAAATTATACACTATTTAATTAATAATATTCTTATTATTATCCTGGATAATTTTACTTTACTAAACTCGTGATATTTTTGTTTTTCGCTAAAATAATTATAATTAGTAATATTCTTAGTTTCATAATAAAACTATAGTTTTTAGAGTTCAAAATATAATACCTATTGATATAGTTGTATATTTAAAAAGATCTAATAAAATTATAATTTTTATTGAAAAATGATTAAGAAATAAATCTATTACTTAAACGAACCTTTATAATAAAAGTAAATTGATATTAGCACAGTACCTAATTATATTATTATAATTAAATGCAAAATGTTTTTACGAGTATGGCTAAATTCCACATTCATTTAATTCTAAATATCTTATGAAATTGTATAAATGGTCTACTATATTTTAAAGATCTTTTTTTTTAATTGTTTCATAAATTATTAAATTATTTGTCGTTCCTCACGTTTTTTCTAGACCTGTGTACACATTCAACACATAATCCAGTTCACGTTGTTTATCAGAAATTTCTGACTTTAAATTGTTGATCTTAGAACGAAAGTATTTTGACGAGTCCTTGGATCCACGTGAACGTTTTAGTATAGTTGTTTGCTTCTGTATAACATAAGAACATGAAATTAGTTAATAAATAGTAATTTATTTTAAAAAATATCTACTTCTACGATTTCAGCTTGTTCTTGTATCTTTTCCATCATTCGCTTTGTGATTTCCGCATGGTTTCTAAAATATTTTTGAGAAAATCATTTAAAATTAAAATAATATATAATTAAGTAATAAAATAAAATTAGTAAATTGTACTCGTAAATATTCTTAATAAATATATAAATAAATAGTTTATAGAAATAAATAAATGCTTATGAAACCGGTCATACATTACAAATATAATAATACTCAAGGCTAAGCATTTATTTCTATAAACTATTTATTTATTATATTTTTATTAGTTATATTATTTATATTATTAAAAATGTATACTATACATTTTTAATGAATAATTATTTCCATTATTATTGTAAATGTTTTTGATATTGAAATACTACGTACTGAGCAGCTTCTGTATCTTGTATGTCCATCATAAGCGAGTTACTACGTTTTTGATTAATTTTCTTCATTAAAACTTCACTTTTAGCCTTACGTTCATTAAGTTTCTGTATCAAGCAATCCAAACTTTCTTGAGCAGCTTTCAATATAGCTATAGAAAAAATAATAAGGAACGTGTCTTATACAAATATAATTTAATTTATTTATTAATTACGAGTATAACGAATAAATAAATGTTAGATTATTTTTGAAATAAATTTAAAAATAAATTAATGTACTGTTAAAAATGTAATAAATATTGTAATATTTTATATGTACCTAAATTAAAATTAATTAGGTACATATTTATATTTTATTTTTATTTAAAAATGAAAGTTTCTTTTTTGTGTGGTGGTATTTTATATTAATAATATTAATTATTTACTTTATAATTAAATTATACTTAAACATTAAAGAATCTAAATTACAACAATCAAATTTCAATTCTTTGTAAATTTTAATTATGTGTAATAACGTATAATATACTATTTATATGTATATATATATATAAATAGTAAACTCATAATGTTCCATCAGAAATCGAGGCAAATAGTCATAATTCAAAAAATCATAACTATAAGTGCATAAAAAATTTATTTATGTAGATATTTTAATAATAAAAAAAAAACAACAAAATATTTAAAACAAATAATAAATACCCTCATTTTCTTTTTTCTTATGTAATGTTGCCTCCATCAACTTTCTTACAGCATATCTTTCCTTATTTTCCAATTCAGCCAATTCGCGTTTTGCTCTTTCTCCTTTGATATGCATAGCATGCATTTCCTGAAAATATTTATAAACAATATTCATCAAATACACGCTTGTGTTGTTATTTTTAGTTCAAAAATTCAGTATAGACTTTTCATATGATATGGTATATGTCCATGAATGAAATAAAAATGAACGAATAAAATATCAAATGTTAGATGTATCTATCTTAATAGATTATCGTAACATCAAATATAAAAAAAAATTTAAATTCTAAATATTTGAATAATGATAAAATATATTGTAGTATAGTAATTCATTTAAAAAATCATTTTCAAAAGTAGCTTAGTAAATTTAAATTATTTTCAATCCACATAGATTTTGCAGTCATTACTTTTGTTGTTCAAAATCAATACAAATAAAAAACAAAAGAAATATTCAAATATATATAATACTTTATTATTAGAAGTCATTTTGCAAAATTGATTTCTTGTTTATGAGATTGTAGGTGATAAAGCACTAATTCTAAATAGAGTAAAAGCATAAGCGCAATTAGATTCCAAATATTGAGGGTGCAAACATTTTTGAAAATAAAATGTATGGTATTTTACAGTAATTATTATATGATGGCCTAAAAAAAACCAGAGGTGCTAAAGACCCTCTTGGGCCCCCTTATAATAATTGCTCCTATCTGTAAATGGTATATACATATAAAATACATGTTATATCTGTTGGACTGGATTATATCGCTAAACAGTTAACACATTTAGGGACCAATTCGAGTACATTAGCTTTAAAGTATAAAGCTTATATTTACATATGAGGCTTATATTAAGTCTAGATTGAATATTAAATTGTTCTATAGAACGATAATTTTTCAAAAAAATCAAAATAATTGCAAACAAAAAACGTAAATTCTATAATGAAAAAAATGTTTACCAATTTTTTGATAGTCTAAATTTTATTCAGAATAATTTTCAAATGTTATCACCCAAGTAAAAAATTATAAAAAAATTGTTACCCAGAAGATATTACCTCACTACTTTATTCCAAAATAAGCGAATAGTATGTTCAAGAAAAGTGCCGAATCCTTTTCTTAAGTATATACTATTATTTTTAGTGCCTTACCTGTCTAGTGTCAATACCGACTTAGTTAATTCGTAACATTTAATTTAATTTCGATTTTAAAATAATACTTATTCAAAGTAGTATATTTTTTTATTAAAATATTTTTTAATCTATTTTGTATTTCTTAAATAAGACAATACAAATCTTCGTCTAGTTCGAGCTTCCATAAAATATAAAAAAACTATTTAAGCCATATAGTGTAATTAGAACAAATGAAATTTGAAAGGACTTATCTGAAAATTTTACTTTTTAATATAAAAGTTTTTATATCCTTAATTTATGCAAATTATTATAAGTGAAATATTTGAGAATGGAAAAATTAAGAAAAATTAAGAAAAATTAAGAATTACCCATAACATTTTTTTTTTTTTAAAAAAAACATTTTAAAGGGAATCGAATTATTGAATGAATTTCATGTTTTTGCTATGTTTTATATTATTTGTTATTTGAAAATTTATTATCAAGGGTTAAAACTTAACTTATATATACCACTTTAATTCATACATATTATGTACCTACTTTTAATAAATACGTCAATGTCGACAAATTATCGTTAATCATACAAATTAAAAAATAAAAATTTGACAGTAAGAACTCAAAATAGTATTTCACTATAAATTATGACACTTATAACTTATGGTTTACTTATTTTATGAGGGAAAAAACAAGGGTAAAGTCAATATTAAAAAAAAAAATAAAGAAAACATAAACACTTTAACAGTGAGGTAGCAATAAAAATGTGTACCTGCCTAAACTTTAGAGTCGATAGTTTAAACTACGAGTATAAGCTCAGCATTGCAAATTTGTACGGCATCAATTTACTACAAAATATATAATAAGAAATAATATGCCTATACTATTGGGAATAATAATAATGAACAGTCTTTATTGAAATAACCAAGCACGTTTTTAGAAATATCTTCGTTATAATATACACAATATTTTAAAGTCCTCCATTATTAGAAGCAAAATATGTATTAAGCAATATGTATTAAAAATCAACAATTTTTATTTGTCCTTATTTATATCAAAATAGTTTAATACATAAATCTGAATGATAAAAAATAGATAGTAAATTAATTTATATTATAGTGTTAATCAATAGCTCAGAGCAGACCTGGCAATGATTGTTCGAACCTAATAAATAAAATATTACCTAAATATAATTGATAAGAAAAGTTTAAAACTAACATACTTGGCAAACACAAACTAATTTGATCAAGATAATTTACAAGTAACAGAACAAGTTTAAAAATGAAATTTTATTGATATATAGAACTTAAATAAGCTATAAAAATATATAATAGCAACGTACACTTAACAGGGGTTAGTTTTACTTGGTTGGCGATAAATTATAGTAATATCTTTATTACAAATTACATAGCTTTAAATACGTATTTAACTATACAAGTGTCTACATTTATTATTTGGTGTATATAAATTGATCATATTTATGTGATGGCTTATTTTATTACTACACCGACACTTGAATCAACTTTTTTTTTAACAAGTTACCACTTATCTACATATTTAAGCATTTAAATAGCTTAGGGTACAAAATATTATTATAAATATAACAATATCGTACGCACAACAATAAAAAATAAAAATTAAATTGAATTATAACTTTTAGTACATAATTTTTAATATTATTTTGTTTTCATATTTTTTCCGAGATTTCATTAAAAAAAAAATAACATTTTTACTATGAATAGGAAGTTACGATGACCTCGATTTAATTTATAGTTTAAGTGGCCTAATAATATATTATTTATTTTAATCATTGCACAAAGTAAGTATCAATATATATTTAAACTTATTAATATTATAAATAATAATGCACGAATATCACTGGAAGCAAATGGTAATTTGATAATATTATCTATGCGTATAATAAAATATTACATATAAAAACCGTGGATATTTTCATTCTTTAAAATACTATAATACTTCAAAATATTATTCACGATAATCGCGATAATATACTCCTTACGTCTCGGGTTGAGTCTTAAATACAATTAATTAATACTACATCCCTAAAATGCACAATTGTATTGGATGAGCTCATGGGACAAACATATTCTTAACAGCAGATATTTATCCATGTATATTTATAGGTTCATTTTACATGTTTAATACCGAGAAATAGCGTACTACGTATATTATTACGCCAATAATCGTTTTTTCGACAAGCTAAAAATCAACACAAAAAAATAGTCTCATGTTGTGTTTATACGTCATTCGGTTATCTTAAAATAAAAAAACAAAATTAAACGTAGAAGCTAATTCATGATAGCATAAAATAACAGTAGTAGGTACAACGAAAAAAAAACACCCATAGCAATAAAAGCTTTAAGTCTTAATATACTCATAATCCGGCTGTTTTACGTATTCGTTAATAACTTATGCAATACAAATAACATATAGAACATTCTTTCGCGATATCCTTTCTCGTAAAAATAAATCATTGCGTTGTAAATTTCGTCGACTGTATACAAGGCGAATTTCAAGGGGAACAAATTTTTAATAGAGTTATCAAATTTTTGAACAATTGCCTCGTAACCAAGTGTAATAAATTATTTTCGTGAACTATATTTGCTGTGATTATTTCCTTACACCTTGGACGTTCACCATATACTGGAGATTTCTTTTCAGATATAATATGTAAAATACAAAAATTGTTCGATGTATTATCACATCAAGGCGTAGAACAAGCTAAAAATGAGCACTGTAATACATTGTGATCAAATGGGGAATCATACTAGTAGAGTACTTAAAATCGCACAAATTAAAATATTTTCAAATGAAAACAAAAATTACTGAGTTTGGGCGAGAGGCCAATTTCAAATGTTAAAGGCGATTTCGACGTAGGTAATACGTTCAGACCCAACGTGGTAACAAAATAGGCAGCTACTTAGGGGGGGGGGGGAATTCCAATAAAAAACATTAAACATGAAATACGAAAACATTTAATAAAAAAATAATATTTCGTTTGATTTGATTAAGATTTCCTACGCGCAACAAGCTATTCGCCAACGAAAAATAAAAATGGGTTCTAAACCCAGAATTGATTTAAAAACTTAATTGAGTTACACTTTTATGTATTGGGCGTATCAATCAATTATCTCGAAGAAATATTACAACAAATACATAACCGTTACGATAAGTTTTTGTGTAACATAAATAGTTTTAAAAACATAACAAAAGATAATATTATTAAAAATTGTATGGATCTTCAATTGTTATTTCTAGAAAATGAAGATCTTCATAATAAATTTGTAAATCAAATATTGTTGTAATAGAAATGACTGATTAATTAGCAGCAATATCCAAATTACTAAAGCCTTATAATACTCCAATGAAAGTGTTATAGTTTTTTATAAATAATGACAATTTTGTATCAAAGTAGTTGTACCTAACAATTCCCATTGTAAAAACTCCTATACAGGGTCACATCAGGCAAACGAAACTTTTCCAAGTTAAACATAATTCAAGTTTTTAGGATCTTCTATAAATTAAAAAATATTAAGTGATCTTGCTATAATTTCAATTGAAAAAGAAGTGGCGAACAATTTTGAGTTCAAAAATATATTGATTGATTTCGTATACTAAAAAGCTTGCAAAATAAATTTTATTTGATACTCTTTTAATTTTGTAGTCATATTTTTTGAATTATCTAATCAATACTTATTTTTATTGTATGCTACTGTATAATGAAAGTTTCTATATAATGATTTGTAAATAATGTATATTTATTTTCATTGGTTTTATATTTTTTAAAAAAAAATGTTGGTCACTCAAAACGTATTATTTTTCTAAACAATAATAACAAAGGTTTATCATTGTATGTTTTTATCGCTATACCTCCGTACTCCCCAAAAATGAACTAGCACGGCGAAAGATCTAAGGCCGGCCTTGAGTACGTCTATATTTGTGTTAGATCGCAATCAGAGGCAAATCGTTATTCAGCAACACCAGATCGATGTAAACGCGCGCAACGCAGCATCGTAGTAACACGTAGTGCAAATCGAGCACAGGTGGGACCATTTGAAACGCGTGATTACACTTAGTTTGGTTTTCTCTCCGGAATACATATTATCGTGAACAGAAAAACCGTCCACGCGAGCCGCCGCCCTCGAACGGAACGGACGAAAACATAACAATCATCGAGGGCGGCGTTCCGAAGAGCGTTGTGAACGGCGGACGGTTTCGAAGACGAGGCGCATTCGAAAAGCGGACATCGCGAACGCTAAGGGACAGGCGGCGCACGAGACGCTAACCGGATCCGCGGGAACGCGTTTCTCGGTCCCGGGAGCGCCGCGGGAAAAGCGCAACACCACCTGCGGCTGGTGAAAGAGAAAAACGCGACGACGGCCGAACGCGACGTTCGCGTGCGCGCGCTGCACGTACCTTGGGCAGGTCTGTCAAGATGTGATTCATGTCCATGTCTTCGGGCGGCGGGCGGACGGACGATGCGCGTGTGCTCAGCAGGGCCGTGGCGAACGGACTGGCGCGTACTGACCGCGGTTGATGTTGAACCGCGATCCAACAGATTTATCGTTAACGTTGAACCAGCGGAACTTGTATGCGCGCGATCCGCGGCGCGCACTCGGATCCGGCTCGTGGCGCCGACGACCGTGCCCGAACGTGAGCCCGGCGGGGCCAAGGGGAACCGTCGCCGCACGCGGACGAACGGGCGAGCGTCACGCCCGCGCGCGCCTTCGCCGGCCGCGACAACGGTTTCGCGGTCTTTTTCCCTTCTCCTTTTCCCGCCACCGACAGCCGACCCCTCTCGCACGCGCGCGTCCGTTTTTCAGCCCGTACCTCACGCGCGCCACCACGGAATTGACGCCGCCGCCGCCGGCCCGCCCCCGCGATCTCTCAGCAACGCAACAACGGGTACGACTGGGGGGGGGGATAATCAATACTTCGCGCAACGCGGGGCTCGCAGGGACGGTCGGAGGGGAGCGGTCAGCTGCCGGAGGTAGTTTCGTCGCGCGCGGCCGCGTTATCTGGAAAACAATCGTTTGTTGATTCCTGGAATACGCGCGTGCGCCTCGCCGCCCCTCACGCTCCCCTCTAAACCGCTTTGTCCACGCGACAAGTATCGCGTTATACGAGGGTCGGCGGTTCGATGGGTGTTAGATTTTTCCTGTGAACACGAGGCGACGGCAGTTCATTATTTGCCAGAGCTCACTCTAAGCTCCGGAATAAAAAAACACATTTATAGTTTCGAACAGCCGTGTGCCCGTAGACCTTTGAATTTTAGTGCTATTCGGTGAACACTTTTCTACAATAAACAATTCAAAAACTCGTTTTACTGATAATCCACCTTCACGTACTCGTAATGTCTAAACGATCACTTTAATATATATGTATCACAGTCAGTGCCGGGTCGAAAATTTGTGAGCCCCTTAGCAATTGAAATTTTGGGCCCCACAAAATTTTTTTCTGTGTACATCCTTAACATTACTGTCCGACAATTAAAATAAACATCCTCAATAATAACCAACTATTATGTTTATTCGCAAGAAAATTGTATTATTATATTATTTCTATTTTTTTCAAAATAATTTTACTATCATTACTGCATATACAACTTAACGTTTATTATATTTAATAACGACTTTTGTCCCGTAAATTCGTAAATAAAATAAAAATATAGTTTTCCGTTTTCACAGGGCCCCTTAAATGAACGAGGCCCTAAAGCGGGCGCCTACTGTGCCTAATGGGTAATCCGGCATTAATCACAGTAGTCTCTCGATCACAAGTACTACTAGTATTAAACTCGGAGTACTAAAATTACTTTTTTTTTTTTAAATATATGACTTTATTTTGAAAAAAATATAATCTGTACAAATGATTATGTTTCATAAACAATAATTATGGCTAAATAAAAATACTTAGAAATACAAATATTTTAACGTTGTGTACATAACTATATAAAAATCACTTTAGCACGATGCGAATTTTTTTAGTCATTATAATTATATTAGATAACATAAAATTTAAAACAATATAATACGAAATTGTTAAAATGTTATGCTCGTACATTAAACGTCAATCTTTCTACAATTATGCTTCTAAAGTTAATATGTAACAACCCTATTTAAAGTAGAAAAATTAAAAATTTAAATAATTAAATTTTTAAAGGTTCGAATAAAAATGTTTTCGCATTACATTTTATCGATCCCCATGATACGTAGAAAAATTAATTGACTCGTCACCTGTGCATTGTGTAGTGTCGGGTTTCGGTAACACAATAATACGTAACTCACTCCTCTAATATCCTTGTACAACCCACGTAATACAATTTTATTTATCAAAATAGTATATTAATGACTCAATTAACACTATCAAAACGTCTCAAATATTATCATTATAGGACCACATATTCATTGTATCCAATTTATCGGTACTGCGATATCGGAATGGATACAAATTAAGTTTTACAATTTATTATTACAGGTTAGGTTAGTGTATTTGGGGTCGAGTGGGCAGTAATGTTCTTGTTTAACTCTGGGTTCAAAAATGACAGATAAAAAAAAATTGCAGTTAATTTGTAATACCACAAGGAACGAACAATAATAATAAATATATTACCGTTCTTGAATATACCATTATTATTATTTGTACTAATAAACGATAAAAAAAAAAAAATGTATTAACATGAAGGATTTCATGAACATTTCGTGTCGATGCCATCATGCATTTATGTGTTCCAATCAAATCAGTTTAATCCATTAAAAACGCGAAAATATACAAAAAAATAATGTGTGACCCAATTCTGTTTGCATATACGAACAAGTAGCGAACAATCATACAAATCCACTAGATCAACACCAAGCGTATACACAAGGAGAGGTTTTAGAGGTTCAACCCCCCCCCCCCCCCAATTCAGAAAAATGATTAAAAAGGTTCTTTTAGAGTAAAAGTGCTTTATAGATCATATAAGTATGGAAAAGTAAACCTAACGCCCCCCCCATAAAATATTTTTTTAGTGTACGCAACTGATTAACACGGCCCTGAATGTTAACGATTAGGGGTATCGTCACGTTAGATTGCGGGTGACGTTTTTGCACGTACGTGCACAAATCGCAGTACTACCGACGGCAGGGCCCAGGGCGAGCGGGGACGACTGTGCGTTTGCGCAGGTTGTCGATTAGGGATGGGGTGACGGCTAACAGACGAATAAGACGTCAAGACGTGCGTACACACATATTATCGGCGGGCATGGGTTGCACTACAATCTATACGATATAAATACTGGGTCAGGTGGTACGTGTAAAACGTACTCCGGTACACGTGCGGTAAATGTTGTGTTGCTGCGGTGCTGATCATTCTCACTTCCCATTTCACACTCTACACTTGTTACACCAATAGTAATACAACACTTTTTGAATATAGCGTGGTGCCGAATGCGTTGCAACGCTCAATTTATTTATGCATATGACACTCGGCATGAGCTATTATTACAAAATTAATAGGTTGGTATCAGAGGTGGATCCAGAGTCAGGGAACTGTGGGTCAAGCCATATCAAGAGGCCATTTATTAGGGATGAAACTGAATTAATTAAATTAAACTGAATTAATACCTTGTAAAAACAAAAAAAACCCAATATGCACATAAAAGTCTATAAGTATATTTATATTACATTTTAGAATTAGTGATACCACCGATAATGACTTATTTACGATTAATAAATATAATCTAATTTTATCAGCGCAACAAACGTACGGAATAAAATATGATTTACTTAACTTTCTACTAAAACGTATAATTTAAAATATAAATTATGAATTGAAAAATTTTAAATTTTGAATATACATGACATTAATTTTTCAAGTAACTCCGATGGGCCAATTGTTCAATAGTTGAAATCAAGGTCTAAAAAGAGAAAAAATTTTCAAGAGGCAAATTTTGTCAACAAATATTAACTGTGGGTCAGCTGACACCCTGAAGCCCCCTCCCTAGATCCACCTTTGGTTGGTATATGTACCTATAGAATATAATATTAAATAAAACAGAGTAATAGTTGTGTAAAATATAAGATAAAATAAACAAAATATAATAAAACCTACTAGAAAATGTTAATGGAACATGTACTTCGAACAAAGCTATTAGAGTCGAATATCAAGTTCCTCTGTCCTTTTGATCGCCATTGGTCCACAGACATGTAGTGTTGCTACCCCTCTTTCAAATCTTGTTATTTGGCATTCCTCGACGATATGGCTTGTAGTCTGTGTTAGGCCGCACTCGCACAACGGGGAATCGGTCATGCCCCAATTGTGTATTAGATAGTTACACCTACTTTGCCCAGTTCTTATACAGTTCAGGGCGAGGGCGTATTTAGACTTACTTCTGGGGGGGGGGGGGGGAATTTTTTCTTTAATTCAGACTCAAAATTTACAAGTAAAATTTTGGTAACATTTAAATCGGGTGAATCCTTAATATTTGTCGTTTATTTTTTTTTAATCTAATGTTGGATCCATTTAGAATCGACTTTTGTGTAGTTATTTTTTAATACTTGTCTGTGTTTTGAAAGTTACGCTTGTGTTTTATTTGATTTTTCACTAAGTATGGGCCCGACAAAAAGCCCAATTCAGTATTCACAGCCACGCATAATTTGATTTCGTTATAAAATGATCCACATTAAAAAAATTTGAAATGTGTATCTCACATACCCGTATAATTGATTCCATTGAAATCGTTATCATTATATGACGATATCGTATTATCATTATAAATTTATCAGTAATATTCTATCCTACAGTAATATTTATACATGTAGGCACATTATTTATATAATTTCATATTTTATGATATATATTGTATAATTTTATAGGTACTCAGATATTTCATTCAGTATAAAAGAAAAGTCAATGCTTACCTATCTAAAATAAAAAACCTAGTTTTTCTTATTATCATTAGTTTTTATAACGCCCCCTAAATTCATAATGCTTTACATTTACCTCCCCCCCCTTGAGACGGCTATGATGGCAATGTTATACACGCCATACTTACGCAGAATAGTTCTGAATTTATTATTAATTAGACTTCTACCAGAACATATATTCTTATTAAACAGACGTAATTTGTTACTATAGTTGAAGTGTGCAAAATGTAGTAAAATTCTGTCAAATATTATTGCTTTAGGACGTCAATAATAGTTTGGACGGCATTGTGCTGACCCGAGATGAGTATATCAAATAATAATAATAATAATAATAATAATATATACCAAATAATTAATAAAATACTCGTATTATTATAGAAGAATTACAAACGCTACAATACTTAATCCAAGTTCTATAAATGGGTATTCTAGTAAACCTTAGTAGTCCATATAATCACATAAATATAATTATACAATATAATTATAATTATAAAATCGTTCCTACAAATGCCGAACAATTTATAGGTTTTAAGTAAAACAACGTGAAAA